GTTCCACAGAATGTGAGACTGCAGCCAAGGGCTGTCTGCTGGGTCAGGAATTAGGGACTGATACCATGGCAGTCTGAGAGCAAAACCAGACAGCTGCCCCAGGGAAATGTGTGTCCTGAGCCAAGGCTACAACATCTGTCATACCTGTAGCTGCTGTTATGCTAGAGCAGCTGAGCTGACTTTTTTATTAAAAAAATCTGTGAAAACTAAATTCTTCAAATCAACAGAAGATGTCATAGCCAGGAGTCAGAATAGATGTTTCAGATTTTTAGCAGTGTAATTGCAGCCAGAATTTGGCCTGTTATTTCTAGGAGAAGTTATCCAGGAGCAGTCAAAGTGGCTGTTGCAGCAGCTGCAGCCTCATGTTCTGCTGGTGGCATGAGCAGTGTGACTGTCACCAGCACTGACATCTCCATCATGACTGTAGCCCGCAGTGTTAGTGACCTTCTGCAGCGAATAGGGGACCCCCCTCTGCACTGGGATCCACTCCCGTGGCTTGGCACAAGCTGAAAAACAGCTGGCACAAAACGACTCTGTTGCTGCTTGCCCCGTGCATCTCCGGGGCAGTCCATCTTGCTGAGACTGCGAAACTATGGGGGCAAAAATGAGTGAAGAGAGTTGTTAGATTCACTGCTRTAAGACAGTGGAGAAGGGAATGGAGAAAGACCTCCCATTTTTGGCGGCGACAAGGGGACAACATGCAATGTGAAACCACACCCTCAGAAATGCTCCTTAGACCAGCTACTGTTTATCCCTGCTGCAAGTCTTCAGGATTTTCTTCAAATCCTTTGGTTACCAAATTGCAGAACATGTGTTGTCTTAGTCGGAGTCAGAGATACACATTTCTAATTCTCAGTACATCCTTATGTCCTCTTATCCCCTAGAAGAACTAGGGCAGAACTTCCACATTTGCTGGCAGAATACAGCGGGCTGCGCAGCGCAGCAGGGTGCAGTCGGGGAAGGTGTTTAGTAGGTCACTGGTATGTATGTGCTGCTGGCACAGCCAGCGTAGCCAGGCAAGCCATCTGTTCCTTACTCATCCGTGGTCCATGAGCTGCTGTAGCACTAACATGCACCATCAGCCTTTAGCCTGTGCAGAGCTGGAGATGTGCTGGGAAATACATCCCGTGTTCTTCCTCAGGGCAGACAATATTTAGCTCTTAATTTTGCATGTAACCAGAAACCATATGTCTCGGCTGCTGTTTTACAAATGCAACCTTGTCTTAGAGCTATTTTATTTTTCTGTTTTCCACTCTTATTCACTGTATTTAACYCCCTACTAGTATGTGAAATTAGTTTTACCATGCTGAATCATACCACTGAGGGGAGGGACAATATCGCTTACACTGGAGAAATTAATCCCACATCATTTTAAGCTTCCCACAGTATTAGTTTGTGTCCTATATCTTGTGATTAATCTGAAAGTAATGCTGGAAATTTAAAAGTATTTTATCTGCTTAGCTCTCTCAACGAACACAACAGCATTTATATGCAGTGACCACAATACATCCCTCAGCTTGCATTATTACTTAATAAGTACTGACAATATCTTTGATTCTATATATACCAGTGATACCAACACAGTGTCTGTTCTGAGTGAGGTTACAGCCTCACACTGTGATCCTGATATCAGATCCATGTGGGTAGAGCCTTACCCTTGTGCAGATTCCCAGGAGATCCCTTCCAAACAGGCTGCTCATGGCTGAAAATATCATCATGAAGCAAAACATATCCCTAAAGCAAGAACTGATCAAGTGTTTTTGTTGAGGCCTGACTGAGCCGATGTCCATGTGGCAGTTTGAAATGTTGTCCACATTATTATTTTTCAGTTGACTAGAGTTGTTTTCTATGAATTGCACTCTTGAATGTTTTTAATTAACAAAACTAAATTTTGGCTAATGCTGGATTTTTTCAATCCAAGTAAGCCAGCTTAAAGTAAAAAATAAGCTGAAGCTCTGGCAAGCACATTCAGGTCAGCTCTTCACTAAATAAATTGTATAACTTTGGTAAGGCTAGTCTCAAAGATTGGATCACAGCGCATAACAATATATTAAAAAACCTTGGGAGAATTCCAGCATCCAGTATTAAGTGGGTAATTGTAATTCCTGTAGGATAAAGAATGATAAAGAAGTAAAATGCTTTAATCCTCCATGAATTTGTCTAACATTTAATCTAGCTACTGACCATATGATATCTCCTTTCTCGAGCAGTCTCAATTTGTTCTTAATTCCACTAATTATGACTGCAAAACTGAGGCAGAAGGCAAAATGGCCCAGCAATTAAATTCATGAGTTTTGTTTATGCTATGGCCCCKGTACATCATTCACAAATAGCACTGAGCAGCAGCCTCTGTGAATGTGGCCTTTCACCTTTGCCTAACAGGTTTTCCTGTGATCATCACAGTAACACTTTGCACTTCTGCAGCACCTTTCACCTGCTCATCTCAAATCACAAAGCCAACACCAGCTAACCTTAAAGAAGCCTTTAGCAGTCTGGAGGCAAAATTCCCTTGAGAGGCTTAAGAAGGCAGTAATGACCTTTCCTCTGCAGTGCTTCCCCTGCCTGTAAACATCCTCTCTGTTTTCCCGGGCCAGCTTCATCCAGCTGTTCCCTGGCTAGTTCCCTGTCTCTGCCAGGGCCCCGGGGCTCAGGCAGGAGGTCGTGTCTGCATCTGATACAGAAGCGATGTGCAGCTGAGTGTTGTCTGTGTCTTGTTTTGGCTACACATATGACATTTGAACGAGAGAACCATCAGCCTTTCTGGAAGATCTGTGGCAATATCTTTGTGCTCTGTTGCACTGGTCTTGCTCTGGTTGCTGTTACTGGGGGCAAAAGCCCTTCAGGCTTGGTACTCGAGTGTACACTCAAGGCCTGGTACTCGAGTGTACAGCTTTTCTTCCAACAGCGCAAGAAGGAAGTGTCTTAAGCTAATTCATTCTAAAGAAATGGAATTACATGTACAAAGGGACAGTATTAGTGTAAGTAAACCAAGATAAATTATGACTTTTTTTTTATACAGGCAAATATAAAGTACATATATGTTTTCTTCTGATGTTGTATCACCACAGAGCACAGCCATCATCATACGTAAGGCTCTTAAGCAGAATTGGTAGGAGGAGATGTTGCCACACTGTCTCTTATAATATATCTATTATATCTCATGTATACTATTATCCCACAATAAATGCCAGATTATTTTTAGGCTACAAGGAGGAGATTATAGGAACTGCCTCACATTCACTGAGAGGAGAGAAGATCAGGACAGCTAACGAAAAGTAACTAAAGTGCTGCACATCAACATCGTTTCCTGCCCAACAGCAACTGGTCTACCCAACATTTGCTTGTGCCAAAGCCTCACCAAAATGACACATGGTCCCTTTACATGGCATGTCTGCTCTCACGCAGCAGGACAGCGGAAAAATCTCATTTTCAATCTCCTCTCTCAATCATTAGACARCACTACTACCCTTTAATTAAAATTCTGCTCTCTCTGCTTGACTCTGAGTTGGATAATTAATCATCTGTTTGCAGTAATTGCTCCCGGTGCCTKATGCTACTGAAACAGATTCAACTTCATAATTTTAAGTGTGATCATAATGTTGCATTAAGATCACTTAAAATAGCAATAAAATTGTTTTTTCTAAGCTGGTGCTGCACAGGGCACTCTTGCTGCAACCCGACTAGCACAARCATATGCTGCTGCAAAAAGGAAAGCAGGGTTGGGATACATCTCACTTCAGCATACATTTAACCGCACATGCATGCAGTGATTGTCCTCTGAACAAGAACAGGCTTTTCACTCACATGCTTAAACGCTATCCTGTCTTGAGGCTTGAGCTGGGCTTTCAACAAAATGGCCTTCGGGTAGAGAATTTAACGGTTTTGATTTGGATAAACTGATTTATATTGGGTCATGGAGCCAATTCTATTGCCCCCATGTTCAAAAGCTTTGGGCTGCAGATAAATTAGTCCTGAAAATGATCCTATTAGAATGATCACGCAGATCTTGATTCCCAAATGTTACATGGAAATATCTGCCTTTTTAGCTTTTTATCCCCATCTACTCTGGTTCCTCTTTGAAGCCTCTAGAGGGTGTGCTCTCCATTTCAAATTAGAATTGAATGTCTTTCTACAAGGTAATAATTATCTCAAATCAAAGTTCTAGCTCCAGATACTAGTGAAATGGTAAGTCGCTGTTACACAGAAAGTCAGCAAAGAAGTCCCTTCTAGAATTAAAAACTTCTCAATCTCACTGCACACTTCCCAGCACATGGGCATGATTTCCCTCAGTAGGGCAGCTATGAGCGGAGATGAAGCAGTTTCTCTTACCCTGGCTCTAGCCATGAAGCCTCAGAATTACTAAAATAAAATCTATCACAGACTGCCGCTCTAGTCTGGATTCTTTTCATCAGGAATCAAATCTTCGTTTTGAAAATCAAACTGTTCTCAACAGAACCACTGCAAGGTATTTGTCGCTTATAATTTTAGTGATGAGGGCAAATCAGAAGGTACTGGAGTGATCTCACAGCAGTGCTTAGAAGTCCCAAAGCAGATTACAGCAGACAAGAGACCAGGATCTCTGGATCACATCCCTGAAAACAGGCTGTCTTGAACAGCTCATTATTTAACCAGACAAGACAAATTATGGAATAAAAGAATATTCCTCCCCGCAGTGAGCAGACGGAAAAGGGAACGATAGCAATTTTGTTGACTGAGTCACTACATAGAGCTGTCTCTGAGCCAGGAACTGAGACTAGAGCAATTGGGTCTCACTCTAGGTGTTGAGAATTTAGTCCCAAAACTTTCCTTCTGGGGCGTCTTCTCTCTGTTGTGCCTTGCTCAGTGAGTTACAATGATACATGGGTGGGAGAGCGTAGCTGCCTTCTGACCTCATTCAGCACTTGCTGTCCAGGAGGGAGACATGACAGGCCCTGAAAGCAAGTAGATGGAAACTGCCTTCAGCCCCATTAAAAGAAAAATGTTCTTTTGTTCATTTCTAGGAACATGTTTCCAGCCAATCTTGTTGAGGCCACGTTCAAACAGGTAAGCGGCTGTATTTCTCTTGCTACTGATGAAAGAGATGAGCCTTCATCATATAAGACACATGTCATGCCCTAGTAAAGCAGAATTCATATAAAAACAGTATACYGTTTTTATATGAACTAACTAACACCTTCAGCATTAAGAAATTACTATGTCTCTTTCCACTTGCAGGATTGTGTTGTAGGACATTAATTACTACCAGGCTACATGACCCTTCAGCATTATTCTGTGTGCTGTGCTGTTACCTTCCTCTCTTGATGAGATTAAAAGGTCCAGGTCTCCTTAGCAGCAGAAGCAGATGAACAGCTAAGAGCACTAAGTAATTTTYATATTTGTACAGTGTATTGTATATATCCTGGATTATAGATGCTCTACTAGTCTCACCAGGTATCTTCCTAGAGTATCACAGATTTTGTGGGGAGGATGGTTTGTAGCTCCTGAGCATGGGCTGGAGGAGCTGGAGGAGGAGTGTGTGCAGCTCTCAGGTACAACAGGGCTATTAAAGCACTGGGTACAGATTGCTGACCAGAAACAGCAAATTTTGTAACATGAGCTTAAAAAATAGGAAGGATGGATCAATAAACGGTGCACATAGTCAATGCCTATAGAGCAGCTACCAGGAAAGGAAGGAGGGACTGATTTCTAATGAAAATATAGATTGGAAGCCCATTTCTCTTTGAGGGGAGCAGATGGAGAAGCACCTCCTGGTTTGGTGAGAATAGGGACCTGGAAGCAAACTTCTTCATTTTCATTCTAATCCTTGTTCTGTCAAAGACTCATCTGCTACCATAAGCTAAACTCTTTCCCTCTGACATGCAGCCTCATTTATCAAAGCACTTAGGGGGCCTCATTAAACTGTTAATTCCTGCTGGAATATTAATTAGAAAAATCTTTTGCTTTCTTTCAGTATCGCACCAAGACTATTCCCATCATTAAATCCAGCAAAGCATCATCTGAAAGCACCACTCGCCGCATTATAATATATGGAGTCCAGGATGAGAATGGATCCAATGTCCAGAATTTTGCCTTGGATATCACTCCCCCTCCTGAAGTGATTTACAAATCGGAACCAGGCACTAGTGATGGCATGAATGTGCTAGGGATTGTGATATTCTCTGCAACAATGGGTAGGTTTCAGATATGTTTGACTTCCAAAAATCCACATATCCATTTATGAAGAAAAAATAGAGGTTGAGTTGTTTGGATTCTTGATGTCTTTTTTTTTTTTTTTTTTTTTTAACTGATTCTATTCAAACTTTGTGGAAAAAAGAGCTGTTCTTGCAACCTTTGAAGAAAAATTTTCTAAATTCTTGATAATTTATTCCATGCTGTTCTCTGTGCATGAATTATATTCTCTATATATTACTTCTGTTTTTTAGTTTTTGAGCTTTCATTTGTGAACCRTTTTTGCTTCAGATGGAAGAAAAATAGAAATGTCTTACATCATTTTTAAAGACAGTTGTCTGAAGCATCAGTTCATCCCTTCATACGAATTCAGTATGCCAGCAGCAGTGTCATTAACTGAGTGGTACCAGGAGGACAAGAGCAAAGCATGATCTCTTTCATTCTTCTGGGGAAAAAGTGACCACAATTTGATGTCTGGGATAACTCAGGGAAGCTTTCTATTGCTATAAGCATAGCAAACATAAACAAACAAGTCCATCACAGACTTTTTCCCCAAAGTCCAAGAAGTTAGGGCATTTCTAATGCCCAAAGCACCAGGCTTTGTGCCATGTGAACAGAATAACCCACTCGCACACAAACACCCTGGTTTAAGTCCTCCCCACCTGGCACAGGTGGCTTTTGCCCTAGAGTCTGCCCTATCTGAGGATCTTATCACTTTATTAGTATAGAACCTGTGTCAATCATTTATGTAAGAAACAATCCACATAATTGGCCTCGGAGCTATCTTGGTAAATGGGTTACAAAGGTAAATTTATAATCATGCCCTAGTTAGTCTCAACAAAGGTAATTACACTGTGATTACTGCAAAAAAATTGATGAAATTATCTTCATCCGAATTTATTCTTGGGCATTAATTTGCTCTGTAAATAGAGTTCCGTAAAATTTCTTTCTCTTTTTTTTATTATCTTCTCTAGCAGGAGGTATCAAAAATCTAGCATGAGGTATCRAAAATCATTTATGGAATTAGCAGATTTGTCTCAGTTTCTTCATTTTTCTGGAGCATGCTATTCTATATGCAACACTGCTGGCTGTCCCCCAGTGTGTAATACTTTATAGTCAGTTCTCAAAGTACTCTGTTGCAGCAAGCAATATTCCAGCCAAGTACTGGCTATGAATGAATTAATTACATATCTTTATTAGAATCAAGGGCAATTATATAATTTTGAGCACAGAAGACCTCCCATTTTCTTCCCAGAACTGCATGTATTTCTTCTGCCATGCCTCTAATTCTTTTTAGCCCAGGGATAAGGGGAGGGAAGCTGAGAGCTGCTTTCTACAGTAAACGTGCTGCTATTGTGTCGAAGGACCAGCTGCAGATAAGCCTGAGACACTAAGCCCTCAAATCTTGTCATATTCTGATTATTTCACACTGTTGTTTTGAACCGAGGACAAAGGCCAACATTTATCACTGTCTTCAGCTTTCAGCCTCCTTCTGAAAAACTGAAGCACTTAAAGTAGAAGGCATGTGGCCTCAGTCTCCAAGGAAGAAGGGTATCCAAAATTTTTGTTTCTTCCAAAAATTCTATCCAGGCCTTGGTGCCTGGTGACAATTTTGCTCACTCGGGCTGAATCTTACCTGCATGAAGATATACTAAAAGATGATGCTAGGCGTTCCCCAAGTTGTGACTAGCTGTACTGCTTCTGCATAGACAGTGTGCAGGAATTTCTGTTAGAGATTATCACGAGTGGGTAAGAGTTGAGATATCAGATCTGTTTTTCTCAGAAAAGGCCACGTTATTTATTAACCACAAGAAAAACGTGGTTTTTCTTGGACTGAAATGGAGCTTGGTACGCTGGCACTGTGGACAGGACACCCCAGTACTGCCTGCCCCACTCACTGCCCTCAGAAACAGCATGATACTCAGATAGGCAAGTCTTTTACAGAACAAACTTCACTTATTCCTATAAAATGAAAGTGAAAACATTTCTTCTGCTCAGCATTATATGGACTTAGAAGCTATAGCACTCTTGGACTCTTGTAAACTGCCACAGCTTAATAAAACCAACCAGGCATCATATGTCAAATTGTATTTAGAATCCTTCTAGCACAGATGAGAAATATGCTTAAGAAGAGTATTGTTTTCCAACCTAAAACTTAAAGCTTAGATGAATATTAACAAGCTTTTAAACCCACATTTTGAGCACACAGTTATTGTGAAATCACTAGATAAGATACTGATCCCTCCCTGCTTTGGGACGGCTTTGCCCCGGCCTCTTACAGCCTGACCTGACCCAGCTGCAGACACAGATGTGGCCTCCCAGGGTGCAAGGCTGGGCTGCCCCTGGAAGCCAGCGTGCAGAGCCAGTGCCAGCACCTAACGCCTGCCCAGCCCCTGGCCTCCTCCTGAATCCCCCTTCCAAGGCTGCCTCAGCCACTGCACTTCGTTTTTGAAGTGTTTCCTTCACTAATTAACTCAAACACTCGCAATCCTTTCAGGCAGAAAATTAATAACATGGGAAAACAATGTATATTTATATACATTTTTAGCGAAAAATGCTGCCTGAGAATATATGGATATCTAACACATCCCAAACCYGTACTCTTTTCCTTTCCTAACGCTGTCTCAGGCAAATGGATTTTTCTTGCTTGCTTTGCTAGTTAAACTAGATAACAATTAGGTTTTTCTTCACATGATTTTTCATTTCCTTTTCTCCCCCAAATTTGCCAAGTCCAATCAGTTATGAGGGCTGATTACTATTAGGTAGACAGGTATCAAGTGAAAACTGGATGAAGCCGCCTATCATAATTTGCCCCAAATATATATAGGCCCAGATGTTGACTCTACACTGAGAGTGTTGTCCATTTTAGGAAGGGACGGCAGGCTTGCAGAGACAAAGGCTTTAACTAGACAGTGTTTCTCATTCTGTCTTCCAGGAATCCCTCACAACTGGTAAATCTCTTCTCAGGGCTTCATGAAAGATAGTTAAGCAAACAGGCTCAGTTTAATAATTAGTAATAGTAATCAGAAGGTCTAAAACCAAAGCCCAGAAACAGCAACTCCACTGGAAAACTTTCAGGGAACTGCAAAATCAATAAAAAACAGGGAGCTAGATGACAGCTCTAGGTAGCTGAAACAATGGTTCCCTCATGTTCTCTTTGAATTACAGAAAGGAGGGAAAACACTGGGGATTTGCATGAAGGTACATGAGAATTTAAACATGAATGCATTTGTTTGCAGGTATAATGCTGGGAAGAATGGGAAACAGTGGTGTTCCTTTGGTCAGTTTTTGTCAGTGTTTAAATGAATCTGTCATGAAGATAGTGGCAGTTGCTGTTTGGTAAGTAACCATTTTATTAAGAAAATCAAATATATATATTTTTAGGAGAACGGGAGGTGACCAACAGAAGCAAAAGCTAGCCCTGTAAAAATGGTGAATTTTTGGCAAATGTGCATATTTCATGCTTAGATTTGTATCCTACTAAAATAACCACTGTTATAGCTCCATAACATCAATGCAGTAACAGCTTAGATTATTTCAGGCTTAATTTCCCTTTTTTTCTCCAAAATTCCCTCTGGTTGTTTCCCTTGAAATGTGAGGCCGTTTTTGCCCAGCAGTCAAGGCACTTGGAAGTTCAAAGCAGCTCTTCAATAGGCAGTGCAGAGAGTCCCCAGGCGTGCAGGCTGCCGCGGCGCCCTGCTCGCTGGCAGCAGGAGCGTGTGACTCAGCTTCGCATCCTCCCCAGCCTTCAGGGGGTCCCCGGACGCGGCTCGGCCACACGTGGGGGATCCTGCTGCCAGCACTTGGCCTCCCATTCCGGCTTCCTGCTTCCATGTGACTAAGCCGAGTCTGGCAACGATTTTTTGGCCAGATGGAGCCGAGGGAGCTGTAATTTCTGGAAGGATGAGGTRAAGTGGCAAGCAGACTGGGGTGTAAGTCCTCGAGCTGGCACAGCTGCAAATGGAAGGTGGGTGGATGTCCCCAGATCTATTTATATATACTTTTTAATTTGAAGCTCCCTAGGCACCTGAGACTTTACATTGCGGTGAACATGAAAGCACTCCAGCTTTGATAAAGCTCCTATCTCATGTCCRGTCCAAAGGGAGATTCAGAAAATAGAGCACCAAGAGCTCATTTAACACATATTGGTAATTCCACACAAAATACAGAAAGAGCCACTAATTTTCTGAAACTTGGCAAGGAAACATAGAGGGAAACATAGGGGCCGAGATGGTGGGACAGTCTTCTCACATCTCACCTAAGGACTGTGTAAGCATTTGCTTAATGTCCAACAGCAGCTGTGAACCATCACACAAGCACACACACAGGCAGAGCAGCTCAGGATCTCCCTTCTCCCAAGCAAATGATCTGCTTTAAGCTGCAAGGTCAGAGCCTTCACCTGAACCAGCACATTTTAAATTCACTCCTGAGCAATCACAGAACCTCAAATGTGCTGAAGGGCACCCTGCMTAAAAGAGTGTTTAGCCTAGTGCTTAGGGCACAATCCTCAAGTGTGAGGGATTAAATACAGTCAGTCAAGCTTAAATAGATTCAGTCTGGTGAAACAACTCAACCCAGATATGCCCTATCCACTCAGGATGCTTTCGCTGTGCTGGTATTGGAGGCACAATAATTTTTCATCTCATACTGGTTGACAGAAGTCAGCTCTCTCCTAATAACAAGTGTCTTTCCTTCTGCTCAGGTATTTTCCATTCGGAATAGTATTCCTAATTGCTGGCAAAATCCTAGAAATGGATGACCCTTCAGCCATTGGAAAGAAACTGGGTTTCTACGCCATTACCGTGGTGTGTGGCCTGGTTGTGCACGGGCTCTTTATTCTGCCAATGATGTACTTCTTCATCACCAAGAAGAATCCCATTGTCTTCATCAGAGGGATCCTTCAAGCCTTGCTCATTGCCCTGGCCACATCCTCCAGGTATTCTGCAGTTTCGTAGACAGATGCAATGAAGCATTTTGCTAGACCCAAATTCCAGCATTCTCTTGGGAACAGCACCGYACAGGTGTACTGGAGCAGACATGCTTGTATCTAAGCTGTGGCCCATATCCAGATCACTGATACGTTTTTTGAAGATGTGTCTCTCCACTTTTGGCAGCTACGAGCAGCAGCCATTTGACAATAATGTTTGTCACAGTTTCTCCTCAGTTTAAAAAAGGCTGGATAAAAGAGACTTTACTTAAAGGACTGGAAAGGAAATAAGCGTATTTTTCCGCGAAAACAAACATTGTGCTTGTACACATTTAGCATATGTAAAGGATACAAAATTTGTCCAGATTTCAATTTTTGTATTTAGTGGAGAACCTCCTAGTTCTGGCATATGGAAACATTTTACCCTTTCTACTCATCTTAGTCTTTGTTTTTTTGCTAAATTAAGACTGTGGTTGCAAGCTGTTGTCCAGCACTGGGAAAATATTTAGGTATAGTGCCAAAAGAATAATGTTTTCACATCCTCTTTAGGGAGGATGTATAATGAGTTTTAACCATAGTTGAAGAAAGGTACAGTGGAAATGGGAAACAGCTTGTGAAAACTGGTTGTGAAATGTCTAGCAACATGGATAAACTTTTGAATTGGAAGTGCTTGAAAAGACTGGAACTGACTTGCACAGAGCAGAAACAAGAAAGACAAATAAAATAACATTTCCACATAGCAGATATCTGAAAATAGTGTCTCATGAGAGGCTGGTGGCCTCTTACTCCACAGGAACAAGAACAGCTGTATCAAGCACTTCCTATGCAGTGATGAAAGCTACAGAATGAGTTAAAAATGCTAGACAAATAGGTTTCCCTGGGATGTCTTATATATTTATTATTTACACTGTCATGAAGAGGGCTAAAGAAGAGAAAAGAAGTGTTTCTTTTATCTCAGCTTGATTTCATGTATTTGCTTTTGACTTTTTAAAATTATTATAGTTATTATTTTACAAAGATATTGGAAAATACTAATTCCAGATCTTGATACTATGACAGTTAGTGACAATATCTATCTTCATCTACTTCTTCATCTACTTAATTTATACCTCCAAATTAGTATAAAACCAGTAAGAGTGTACATGTCTTAATTCTAAAGAAACTTACCCTGGAAAAAACATAGTATTGTTGGAAGCTGTTGCCTTTCCACAGTGTTTCATTTTACAAGGTTTTCTTCATATTTAATAGTTTGCTCCCAATGATCCTGTATCGCATTCCGTGAAATACAGGCTCAGGAAAAAGTTATGTCCTGGGTGGAGTTTTATATTGTAACTGGTTTAAATAATTAAGTTGGCTCTTTTTTTTTTTTTTTTTTAGTRAGCATTAAAGGTCTATAACTTGGGATGTCATCACATCCCCTGCTTCTAGTAAGATGTCCCTTTGACACTCAGCAATGTTAGTGTTGGAAAAGGTCCTTCAGGTTCACATTTGACACATTTGACTCTCTGCCTTACTCCTCTAAGAAATCTCTTTCTGAAGAACAATATTTTTTCTCCTGTGTTGTTTATTCCATTCTCTTCTTAACGGAACATTTTCTTAAAAAGTTCATCTGAATTATTTACTTTTTAGAAAWAAAAAGAGAAATTTTTCATTTTGCTCATTTCACATTTATCATCTATAGAAAAGTTTGTCCATTTCTCATTTTTTCTATTAATAGGCAGCAAAATTAATGAGCTCTTTCACTGGAACAGATCCTTTGTCAAGTAAGACTTCAGTCAGATTTTTAAAATTATCATAGGTTCCAACTTTTTCATAAAGTAATTTCCTTTTTATCATTTTTCATGTTTTCATCAGCATTATATTTTGACTTTATATTCAATTTACTATTCCTCAGAAATATTTAGGTCTTGTGCTCCTTTAAATAACTTTCTCCCATTTCTATCAAAGCAATTCATGGTTTCTTCATGGGATCTCATCTTTCACTCTGTCTCTTTGCAGTTATAATGCCTTCTTTGTAGTTTATAACATCTGTGTGTCATAATTTATAATATCTGCAGGCCTAGGGTGGGTTATGGTACATCTCAAAGTTGGAAATGTTCCAGTGCCAATATTATCAATCACAGCAGTAAAACCAAATGTCAGGAATGATATACAGTAACAAAAATACCAGATCTACAAATGTGCATAGGGGATTAATTCCATGCATGTATCTGAAGCTGTATTACTTTTTGGAAGAGGTGTTGGGGTTGGCTTGGGGGTTATAGATCAGTTATCTTTTCTCGTGCTGACTTGCAGAAGGGCTCTGAACTTCCAGCTCTGGAGCTTGGACACTGATGGAGTTGGGTCTTTGTGCCCCCTCTATCAGCCCATACATTTTGCAAATCCAGCCCAGGCACAACATGGCCATTAATGTTTTTCCTTCTCAAACAGCAGTGTCTTGTCTAGAGATGGCTGAACTTTTCACCTTGGTTACACTGCAAGGAATGGATACTGCGCATAGCTGAGCCGATGCCAAGAGAACATGCACAAGTAATTGGGGCTGGATAGGAGAGCTGCCTCTCCTGACAGTCCCCACAGCTGTATTTGGTTAACTAATACTTGCCACAGGGGCATTATATAACACTCATAATGTGGGTATTGGATTTTCAGCTCATCTTTGAGGAGAACAAAGGGTTGATTTTAAGCATATTGATGTGTTTCTTGCAGATGTTTCTATGTCAGTCCAGGTCTACATCGAATGATAGAAAGCACATCACAAATCAGTGCTCTGATAGCCAGGCCAGCTAGTCTGCACCTGTGGACAGATTGCTTTTCAAGCTAAAAGCCTTAACTTCAAGAAGAAGGAACATTATTTTGTACAAAACTAGAAAGGTACCACAAAGGGACCTTAAAGCCACTAACCAGCCATGTCATTCCAATCATTTTATTGAAACAGGGCCTTATTTCAGTGCATTCCCCTTTAGTGAAAGGTTCTGCACTCCATTCTCAGTCCCGTTTTGCTTGCCTAGAAATCACAGTCACACAGCAATTTATTGACCTTGGGTTACACTGACATTACTGGAGAGGTAGGGACAGAGAAGAAGGAAATCGTCTGATGTCAAACTCTCACCTGGCTTTGGCAACAGGCACCTATAGCAATGTAAATAGCTCCTTCAATGTCAGTGAAGTCATTGCCCCTCTTGCCCCTGTCTAGCCCCCTTCATGTGTCCACCTCGCCACCTTTTACTGCAYTGATCAACCAGTATTTGACCTGCAAACAAAATTCCTCTTGATTTTAGCTTTCATGCCATAGACATGAGGGAATTTTATTTTTCTAGGTCATCTTTCCATTAATGAATTAAAGCAGCATCTTCTCAGTGCTGCATCCCATCAAAAGAAACAATTTTCATCTTCTCTGAAGACAGACTGTAAATTTTGAGTATTTCAAGGGTTTTTGCTGCTTATGAAACACTAAGATCTTGGCTGTTGCGGAGTGTAAATTAAAGGCAGATTTAGCAAAGGGGAGATGAGATCAGTTTGTTGATTTTTTGGAGCAAATACCAAAATGCATTTGAATGATAAGATAAACAGAGCGGGCTGCACAGCTGTTCTTCTGCTGTCATACCAAGTGGCTCGCACTAGTGAAAGCTTGGCCTGATCACCCGTTAGCTTATGTCTCTGCAGCTGCAGAGCCTTATCCAAACCAAAATTGAGATAACACTCTAAAAATATATTTTTAATTATCAATGAGGTAGTGCTAGGAGAAGAAGATATCCCTCATCTTAGCTGCAAGCTTTAGAGAACATTTTAAAACCAATCACTAGTTAAGTGCTCTGCGTCTAACAGCATAAAATTCAAAATAAAGCAACACCTAACTCTGTGAATTAATAAACAAGATAAAAGGTTCTTGTGAAAACAGTATCATACATTCAGGGGAAGTAGGTGTAGGACTTTTTGTTTGTGTCATTGGTATTGTTGGATTCTTTCCTCAGTTTATTTTTGATCACATCTCAAACAAATCCAAAGATGTCAGTCAGGTCAAACTTGCACCTTCCCACCTCAGCTTTCTGCTCTATAAACATGAAGGCACTCAGGTTTAAAACTGTTATGACTGGAGTGTAGACAAGGTGGAAAAGGACTTGAAAAGTTAACTTTTTCCTCCTCTCTTCCTCACAAACAGGTCAGACAGAGTTCTGTTCCAGAAAAAAATGAGAACAAAATGAAATGAAAAATGAAATGACTTCGGAAAGACTTTTTGAAAAGCAAATAATCCTCCAGAAACAAAGCAGCTTCGGGGGGGGAGGCATTGAATTGTAGGCTTGGTAATTAATTCCTGCCAATACCTGTAGTTAGGAAGATCTAGACCCGTTTCTATGGCAGTCTGCTATAATTACAGCTATGCCAGGATTTTCTATCCCATAGTATTAGTGCACTCCCGTCTCACCCTTTTGTTTTACAAACACTTTATGGTAAACAAGTCATAAAGAATTCCAGTCGTTCAAAAATAAATGGGAAAAAAATATATGCATGTCCAAGAGAGAAGTTACTTCTTGAGGACTTTGGGGTTTTATGCTTTCCTGTGTTTATTTTTCAAAGTAAAAATTGTTTTAAATATTAGGACTGACAGAATTAAGAAACTGAATATAAGCCAGTTACCAGAGTTCATCAATTTTTAATTGCTTCCCTGCCTTTTCAGCTTATTTGCAAACTTGGAGAATTACTTCTGCACAGATTTTAATGGTAATCACTGCCTATCTGCCTATCATCAGTCACATATTTTAGGAAAAAGTTATCAGAAACCAAAAAAATGACAAAAGCACCCTCTGATAGACAATATTTTTTGCCTTTATCTTGCAAGAAGTTACTTTTCTGTTTCAAACACTGTTGCATCCTCAGACAGCAGCTTGCACAAATGGGGAGTTACCTACTCATGGAAACGTTTTGCTAATACATTCTAGCAGATTTAGGACTATGATTTTATCAGAGTTTTCGGAATCTCTATATTTTGTAGGTCAAATGACTAAAAAAAGACTGATAAAAGAACTTACAGATCAAGTGTGTTGTATTTTYATTAAAAGCAGATAATGATCATTCTACCGCTTAAGTATCACTGACACGTTGTTTTAGGGCTAACAACCCTGAGTGAATTGGACTGAACACACTATTGAAAAGATTAGTTGTTTATGATGTGAGTGTGACACTAAACAATAAAATGAAGAATGCCTCCAAAACAAAAGACCAATAAAGTACAGAATGAACATAAATATGTTCAGGAATATTACTATTTAAAAATACATGCATCTTATTGAAAAGGAGGACATTTACAACCAGAAAATGTTTAATAACTTTTCTTCATTAATGGAAGAAGGTTGGGAGAGATAAAAATAATTTCAGCCTGTTTCTCTCTGTGCTTTTTGCAGTTCAGCTACCCTGCCCATCACTTTCAAGTGCTTGTTGGAGAATAACCACGTGGACAGGAGGATTGCGAGGTTTGTGCTGCCGGTGGGAGCCACCATCAACATGGATGGGACGGCCCTCTACGAAGCGGTGGCAGCCATCTTCATCGCGCAAGTAAACAATTATGAACTGGACTTTGGGCAGATTATTACTATAAGGTACAAACCTCAAGTTCCACATGTTGTGCTTTGCCTCCCAGGTCAAATTCTCAAGTCCTGTTGAGAATTTGTTGGCCCCAAATGAAAGCTGGAGCCATAAATATTTCTCTTAACTGAGGAAATACTTGGGAGAGCCACAGACCGCTGCATGATAGGGGTGTRCAGAGATCTACTGAGATACTACTATCAGGAAAGGTTTTCATCAGATGTTATACCATCCAGATTTTTTTAATGGCTGCTGCTAAAGCAGAAAACTTCATAAACAACTATGTTCTCGGTGGGTAGAGAATGCTATAGCTGCATACTCCTTCCTTGAATGGTCTGTAATGGATCCAAAGGAATAAAAGATCCAGCTAAACAATTACTGCCAGAATAAATTCACTGGCTGCCAAAGAATGCCTCAGGGACTGAAACCTGCAGGTTTCCAGCAGGGAACAAATGATTAGAAAAACATTCTTCATAATCAGAGCCTTGTGCAACACATTTGAGATCTACTTACCTACCCACCCACTGACCTCACCACTACCCTTTTGCACTGCTGGGCCTTGAACATCTTCTGAGCAACTTAAAACCCTCCTGACAAGAGCATGCTAAAACTAACCCCACATAACAGTTSAGGGTTGCTGATGTACATATGGGGGGATAAAAGGCTAGACTAGAAGCARAAGTATCCCTATGAACTGTTGCTCTAGGCTGTCTCTGTCTCTGAAAATCACTGGAGTGACAACATGCAAAAGTTTAGTCTTCTGTGATTTTGCATTGGTAATGTTTATAGACTGTGGTCCCAAAATGTGGCATAGATCATGCCATAAACATTTGAATATCTGCAGCCAAATTCTAACTATACTCTAACTCACACCTGCCTAAGACCTTGATACTTTAGTACTTGGAGATTTGAAATCCAAACATTCCTCAATACTAGGGTATTTTTGCAAGAGGGATAAAAATGTTAAGGACAAAAAAAATCAGTCTACTTTGCTCATAGCTTTCAAAATCCATATTGAGTTGAATTGAATGTTTTATACAAAGAAACATCTATATTACGGTGAACATGCAGTGGAGTAGCAGATGAGCTTGTCTGTTCAATGTTAATTAAACATTCCTTATTTTGCTCCCAAAGGAATTATAAGACATTCTAGCCTGAAAAGACTTAGGAGGCAGAAACAGTCCTAATGGGGTAGTCAGTTTAAAGTCCTGATCTAATAATCTTTTAATACTCATTAAATTTAATTTTTACTCAAATACTGAGCTTTTACCCTTTTTCTTTCTATCTAAATGATTACAATGCTATTAGGATGCTGTACAAGCTAACTATTTCAAATTTGATTTTTTTATCTTTCTCTTACCCATCACATCCACATACAAAAGCATTTATTTATTGCAGAAAAGGGTTCTAGCTGTAAATACTAATGCTGCTATAGTGATACAGTGTACAGCTGTGAGCAAAATACTGGATATCTGTATGTCTCAGTTTCCACATGGGTGAATATTGTTACCATCATTTTCCATCATGGGAGGAGAATTAGACTTAACTGCAGGCCAAGAGCTCTGAAATTCTGGACAGATAGATGTGGTGGATTATCAGTGTATATGCTTTATGTCATCCCTTYACAGTTGTCAACATGCATTGTGTTTTTTGTCTTTCTGCTGCATGGCCTAGCTCTCCAAAGTGGCCAGATGCRAGGAGGAATTGAATAGAGCCAGTCACTTCTGCTCCTGGAAAAAGGAGTGAAATCTCTCCCTTAAAAATAGCCCCAATGAAGCAGAGAAAAGAAAAAGTTAAGGCTGCCAAGTCTACTCTTGCCCTGGCCTCCCATTCATTTCTGCTTGCCTTGCTGAAAAAAAGGTGTGAAGTTCAAGCAGAAACGCCTTCCAGAAACTGGAGGCATCCCGTCACGTTTGTGCTTCCTTCATGTTCAGATCCAAGTATGCGAAGGCACGGCCTGCACCAGAGCTTCACCTTGGCCCCAAGGCCCRTGGCTGCTGCCAGCCGCGCTCGCCCGGCGCTGTGGGCACAACCAGGCCTCGCTGCCCGGAGCTCCCTGCCCAGGGCGCAGCCGGGGCAGCAGCRATGGCAGCTCGGGGCGCTGCGGGCATCGGCTGGTACAAGGATTCAGGGGCAGCAAAACACCGGGAGAAACGTGACGTTGTCTCTTGCAGAGGGACCCAGTGTAGTTAAAGCCAATTCCTTTCTCTCCGTTGCAGCATCACAGCAACAGCTGCCAGCATCGGCGCGGCAGGAATCCCGCAGGCCGGCCTGGTGACCATGGTCATTGTCCTCACCTCGGTGGGACTCCCCACAGATGACATCACGTTGATAATTGCCGTTGACTGGGCACTGTAAGTTACACTAAGGTGCAGCAATGTTGCTAAAAAAGCAAATTTCTCCAGAGATGCATTTGTAAAAATCTATGTAAAAGACACAGAAAGTAGTTATTTCGCTTGAAACAGTGCTGATGTGGCCTCAGATGCAATATCTTTTCCAAGCAGGTTCTGTACTGTAAAAAGTCACAGGTGAATGCGAGTCATCTTACTGATTGCACACCTTGAGACAGTAGAGTTTCATTACATCAAATTTCTGGGGAAAATGTTTTTAAAAGTTTAAAAGCCCCAGATCTCTTCTACAAAGAATTGGGAGAACCAATTGTTTACATTCATGTTCTGGGTAATAAAATACTATTTATTCCTGTTATTAATAGGAGTCATGAGAGTGGTTTCAGATGCAATTTTAAGATATTTATTTTAAGAATATTAGAGAGATTCTTGTGTAAAGTATAAATGGTATTTGTGGTGTGGACCTGAACTTGAGAAGAGCAGTTTAGCTATTACTAAAGAAATCCTCCTAACACTAGTCACTGAAGTTCAGTTGTTCACAAAGCACAGCAAACCAAAATATTTCTAGTTGTATTACAAAAGTCTTCTTCGCCCTCCATATATCTCTTTCATCCAGCTCTTGCAACATGAATATTTAATTGTTTTTACAGTAAGTCTTCCAGCATATATAGGAATTAGGTTTTTCTGCAGAACTTTAGGAACAGCAAACAAACTTGCTCAGGTTCATATTTCCTGATAGTATTAGAAAGGGAGAAAGGAGCACACCCAGCTTTTAGTCTTTTACAGATGACCTTTCATACAAAACATCTATTTCTACATTACGGCTCTGGGTGGTTTTGTGAGCCTGCAGATGCAAAATGTCCACATGGTTGACATGATGAATATTTCCAGTATTAGATCTGGAAGTCCTAAAGCATGACAACCTGGCAACAGCATTGTCCAAACACAGACCATAATTGGCCAAAGAATACGCAAAGCAATCCCATTTRCTAAAGACTTTCGATTTTCCTAGAAAATCTCTGTCTTCAGGACAGCTCTGAAGTAAAGCCCAGAAGAGTAAGTGAACTCTGGAGCAGTGTTCGTGCAGCTTCTTCCCCAACACAGCTGACTCTGTGTGATTCAGGATTAGCAATCTAGAATATCTTTCCAAAAAATCAACATTTTATGATCAACTAAGAAAAAAAAACAGCTATGAAGTCTGTGTATAACAGGAATTTCTATCAGTAGGCACTATAACAGGACTTGTCACTACTTGTCTTGAGGATTTATTTTCAAGATAAAACCCCAAATCAGAACAGCAGGGATCGAAAATGGTTTCAGCAAACAAGTATTTGATGCAGGAAACTGGTCTATGTTCTGGCAGTCAAATATTATCAATGAATTTATTTGCAATTACACGTACAGTTGGATGTCTGCATGCAAATAAATGTTAGTGCAGGAACTGGTCATGCTAACTATGCAGCAATATTTGCATGTAGGAATACATGCYTAAAATAGATGGAAAAAAAAACAGCCTAGAGTTTAAGTTTTGTTCTATATTAAGGTACATGATCTGAAGTCTGAGCGTTGTTGATGTTGGATTGTCATTCTCTTTAATGAGCCAAACATCTGGAGGATTTTGAATCTCAGTTTTATAACCCACATTTATAAATTAAGCTTCCAATAGGACACAGTTTTCAGATGTGTCTGCTTTCCTTGGAAGGGACATAGCTACATAGTCTATTGAAACATCACCAGTTTTAATTAAAAGATTACAAGTAGTTTTGAGTGTAACACCTATTTATGACAACCCCTAACTTCATGGATTCGCAGCCAATTTTTTATAATTTTTTTTTTTAATGGTGGCGGGTAGAGAACTGAAACAGGGCAAAACTGATCCCTTATGAACAAATGAATCAGTGGAACTGGTAATATACAAAGTACTGTTAAATGTATGAAGCCAAATTGGAAAAAATAAAAGATTGTAAGTAAAAATGAGAAATCTTTAGGAGACGCTGGTAGCCATAACAAATAAGCTTTTTCAGAAATGAGCATAATTTAGGTATGGTCACTGCTGGTAYAGTCTGTAAGAGCAGTTATTCAGCCATCTTCTGAAAAACTGAAATCTGTATTCTGCAAACTGCAGCAATACAGCACTTGGGTTCCTGAGACTGTAGGAGTGGGTCCTTAAACAGCTAATTCAAGGTAGTGGTGGTTATAGGGGCTGCCCTCTACTTTGAGGAAGACGTTTGCAGCACAGACTGTCAGACCAGGTGCTGGACAGTAAAACAAGCACCCAGCTGCAGTCACTGGGKTGCACGGGTTGCATGGGTGGGGAGGCCTAGGTGCTGCCTTAGCTCTGCTGCAGGTTGAGACGTGGAGCACAGGGCGCAGCGCACACAACAGCCTGGAAATCCCACCCGGGCAGCTACAGAACTGACGGGTTTCCTGTGCCAAACTCCCAACTGCCATTTCTAAACTGGTTAGCTCGTAAAAATGCAGTCGAAACAGCTTTCAGCTCTGAACAGCACCGCGATGAAAGATGGGGCGGCTGCTTCAAGAGCCAGCGACTCACCAGCACTGTTCCGTTCGCCAGGGACAGGTTTAGAACCATGATCAACGTCCTGGGAGATGCCCTGGCGGCCGGGATCATGGCCCACATCTGCCGGAAGGAGTTCCTCAAGGACGGCGACGAGGTAAGGGCGGCCAGGCCGCGGTGCAGCGGGCGCCCCGCACGCTCCCGCTCCCGCCTTGGCGGCGCCCGGTCTGCACGTGTSTCAGACACGGGGCAGGACTGGGCATCGCGCTGCCCCACCAGGTGGGACAGAGGGGTCTCTTCCAGGAGGTCAGGCAGAAAGCCACTCAGATTCAGACCTCCCTAGGGTTCCCTGATGCAAAAGTCTCAGGCATGGAGCTGTTTAGCAGAAACAGGCGCATAGTCCCATGCTCAAACAGCAAGGGGAGCCTGGGGGGCCGAACGCTCCCCAGAGCAGCGATGTCCTTGGCCCCGTTCTGCATGTGCCAGGCAGCTGTATCTGACAGGCCTGCACTAGCTTTCATCCACAAGGACAAGAGATTTCCTGCAGAAAAGGGTCTTCCCAGGGCTTAATCTCCAAAGGCGGGCTGCTCTCCTGTGTGTCGCCTAGAGGAAACTACTCGGTGTAATAGCAAAGTTCTACTTCTGATATTATTTCCCCTATTTCACAGCTAGTCTTTCTGGTAAATCCCATTTTCATCTCTTCCTGGACCATCCATTTAAAATTCCAACTCTTTCAAGTTTTATATAGACAGACTCTGAGGTACCTACAGCAATTACTAATGGCAGGGCTAGACCTGAATCCATTGACTACATAAATAGCCAATTACAAATAAAAAGAATCTACAACTTCATGGCAAGGTTTGTCATCAGTTGCAAARCCAGAAGTGTAGCCTGGCTCCCTGCAAACACTGATGTTTTATTGCTGTGCTTTGAACCCAGTCCTGGAGCAGAGTGTTCAGATTTCAGCAGGTTTCACTCAAGAAGAGATGTTTCAAGACTATAAAATCCCTCCTTAGGGATTATTTAGTCATCTGTGATGAGATTTTTTCTTTGCATCATACCCAATAATTGTATTAAAATATACCATTAGTCTTCCATGCGTTTTGGCTGCCTAATTCATGGAGTTAGTCATGTATACCCAAAGGCCAAATTTTCTCAGCTGCGAGCCCACCTCTTTTCTCTGCCAGTATATACGTCTTATTTTCCCTGTCAGAACTTCTGGTTTGACTTAAAGGGCACTTCAATAACCTCATCAGATTAGAGGAAAGGCAGAAAGTGGCATAGTATTAGTCCTCAAAAGCAGGCACTGCCCAAAACGCAGCATGTATTAAGAGTCCATATTGTCTAAACTTGGTCCAGAAATTCTTGATTTTAATTATTTATATCACTTGATGCAAAGATGCAAACAGTTATTATTGTGGGTCTAAGTTAAATTTGAGTTGTGACAGAATTTGCCTTTGGGGAGACCTAGATCCTCCTTCACTTCACCCACACAGTGCCAAGATGCCTCAGTGCATATAAGAAACAGGTCCGTGGGAACCCTAGATAATCCTGTATTGCAAATGTAAAAGCAGAGCAAAAGCTTTCAAAGCAAAGATTCCTTTCCTGTGGTCTGCAGCGAGTAGCTGCAGTTCTATAAATCGCGGTGCTTTCCACACAGGTGCCACTGATCTGTGAATCGAAGCCTCTCAACGTCCATCAGATCGTGGCCTGCCAGCGGAACGGCTGCGTGAAGACCATGACCGAGGCTCGCSGCCCAGACACAGGGACAGGCTTTCAGCACCACATACCCGTGCAAGTGGAGCAAGAGGAGAGCCCAGTGGAGAATCAAACTAAGAAATCCAACAGTAAGGACCACTGCACTATTGAAATAAATGAACTAGAGACGAATGTGTAACCGCTTCTATCTCAAACCCAGTGACCTGATAGCCAGTCTCTACCTCACAGCTGGAAGAGGGACTCTGCCTTGAACAGGAAAATGTGGAATTATGGCCACTCTGCTTGTATTGGAGCTAGGCGACCAGCTGTGACCGTCAGGAAAGGCCCACAGCTTGCGAGAGGCACTTCTTTAGGTGGAAGATTTTAATACTGAGTAATTAAGGGACTTCTCTTTTACCTCTGGACAAACTCATTTGACTCCAAACGTAGTATTTGACATTCCGTTCGCTTTTTTATTTTTTTTATTTGACCCTTTTTGATTTTCTAAAAAGCCTTTTTTTTGGTGAATCTCAGTAAATATGAACACAGTATTTATATAGATTTTCTGCTGTGTGAAAACATTTCACCAAAACTGCTGAAGATGCTAATTTTTGTCTCATATTTGCTAAATAAAGAGCTTGTGCTTAGTTTTAGAAAAGCAGAGAGAAAAATCACACTGATTTCCTGATCTCAAGGTTTCATATGTATTACTAAGTAACACTTCCAATGGTGGGGGAGCAAAATGCTCATTTTCGCAGGAAAACATGCAAAGTTAATTCCGATGGGCAGCCTTCCGAGACAGGCAGTCACGTGTGCCTGATAGCACAGCATTGCTAGGCCGTTGCAGAGCACAGTTTGCCTTCCAAGTGCCAGATCTACGAACCCTTTTTTAACCTAACTCTTGGGTAGAGCCAGGACCAGGCACAGGCGGTGGCAGAGGTAGAGCTAACCCCAACCCTCAAGCACTGGTGCTAACGTGTCCTCTCCTGCAACCTGTAGGCTGCTCTACTGTAAATATGTATAAACTCAGCACTCAAGCTCTTGGACCACGTGCTGCATCCGAAGGGCAGGCTGATCCCAAACTGGAAGCTAAAGCTGATGAGTAATATTTGGGTTTTGTGGGCAGTTTGCTGTGGAAACCATCACATTATTTTTCAGAATTCAGTACTTTGAATTACTTTCTTTCAACTGTCTGCCGAATCTTTCGGTCACAATAACATCTGCTGAATGTGTTTCCAATGTCTGTGCTAGAGAACATTTTTAATAAACCTGCCATTGCAAAACCAGGCTGTCCGTGCACTTCTGCTTTGTGTGTTGTCTTATTTCTTTACCAAACAGGATAATGGAAGTGAGCACAAGTTTTGAAAACCCAGGGCTTGGTACACAGAGTGCACACTAGTTCCTGCCAGTTATCTTTAATACTCATGGCCTATCAGCCCCAGCTGACATGCAGTTAAATGGTACTAACTACTGTAGCCAGTGCTACAGTGTGGTGATCCCATAGGAAAAACAACCCAGGCCAAAGAAACAGCAATTTCTGCACTGGCTGGAATTAGGACTTCACACATGTGATAAGGGTTTTACTGCGAGGTGCATCCTGTGAGGTGCTACTTTCACAGAAAGGATGTGTTCCTTCAGAAACGCATACAGCTGGGAACTCTTCATGATTTGACCCAAGTGATGACAGCAAGCATAGCCCACAGCGTGTATAGACCACCTGAAAATACTGTTTGCTCCGAGACTGCCCTAGAGCAGACGAGCTTCTCAGGGCACCGTGCATGCAATGAGTGATCCCGCAGAGCTGGGAGCGATGTCACAAACCTCAGGCTTTAGTTCCGCCCCGTCCTCACAAACAAGAACCAGCAGCCAGGGAAGAAGCGGCGCAAGAGCCTTGGAGACTTCGGCGCTCTGCGCAAGGTCCCTGCCAGCAGAGCCCACAGCCGGGAGCCCCGGCCTGCCGGGCACAAGGAGCTCCTGGCCTGGCCCCGCTCCGCTCCCCCGGCCACGTGCAGCCCCTGGCTAAGCACAAATTCCTCCGCCTGCTCCCTGGGGATCCTCCCTGTCCGACGCTCGACCCCGGCTCAAGGGATGCTCTGCGCTCGCAGCTGCTCCCACTCCCACCAGGGAAGGGCCGGGCGGCTGACCTGTGCTGGCAAGTTGCCCATCTAGGAGCTGTATCTGAGAACTCGGGAACTGCCTCCAAAAGAAGCTTTTGCAAAAGCATCTTTGTCCTCACGTCACCTTGACCTAGGAGATGCTTCTTGCCTCGCTCCACAGTGTTGCCGCAACAAACACTGGCACCTGGGCTGACGTTTTCTCCGGAAGACTTGAGCAACAGCACTTAATGGTATCTTGAAAGATCTAAGCCAAACCCAGTGCCAAGAAATAATTCAACTTCTGCAAGGTGAAAGTTGTGAGATAAAACTCAAAAGGCAGAGGAAGGAGCCACTTGTGCTCCCCAGACCAAACAGTAATGAACAGCACAGGATTTTGTCCTTCAAACTCCTGCGGTTTGGCAGTGCGGAATGGGAAAGTCTCACAGGTAACAGCACAACAGAATAAACAGGCTGAAGGGGGATTTTAAAATTAACCTTCTGCATCCAAACCCTATTCATAGACTGTCTCACCAGAGTATCTATCCCCTGCACAAGATGAGCTGGATAATGAGCTGAAATAAAAAGTCTTACAAGACTCCTCCATGCTATATAAGTCTAATTCAGAAAATGCAGCAATGCTCTAACAGCACCGTCTGATGAATTTGCTCTTTCAAGTCTACAGCAAACATCATTAATTTTAGCCCCTTTTAGCAGCAGAACTGCTAGCCTGCCAGATGGACAGCCTTGAAACAACYTCGGCCTTTCCTGCTTTCCATAAAAACAGAGTAACTACTAACAGAGGTGGCTGATAGTGCAGGCAAAATGCGTACCCAGGGCATGGATCTGAATCAGAAAGACTCAGGCAGCCCTTGATCTCACACATGGTGAGAACTGCAGCTCTGGCTCCACTGAAGTCCAGAGCATTTTTCCTGTGTCCCTTCCCAGCCACAAGGCAATGAGGAGTGGGAGGTTTTTCCCTCCGGGCACCGAACTGGCCGAGATCAGGCCCACRGCCCTCAAGCTGAGGGGATAAAGCAGCGTGGGTTCCCTCATGAGGGTGCCATGCGACCTGTTTGACTTGCACTCCAGAGCTTCTTTTTGCAATATAAATGGCTGGAAAAGAAGAAAAATCTGCTCACAAATACTAACCAAAAGCCAGAATCCAACTCATCACGTGAAGCTTACTGTACTTAATTGCTGCTTGTGATCTTTCCTAATAAGGATAGAATCTTGCTAGCCATTTTTTTTCCTCCCTCAAAGATGGATGTTTTAATAAGATGGAAAAAGCAGGGGAAGCAAAATAAGAAGTGTTTTATATTCAGCRATATATCACATTACATCTGCTCCAAACAGTCTATGTGCTAGATGGCAAAACCAAAAGAAGGGGAAAAAAAGATTGACCTTGAGATGTCTCATTCTGATTTCACTGCTTCCAGTGGTTTTATTGGGTTTTACCACTAGGCTATTAAAAACATGTGGAAATTACACAGAGCTAAGTCAAACTAAATACTTTCAACTCTGATCTCCCATCTTCTTTTCTATTTAAATACTTTAAATAGTTGTTTTTCTTCAGGATTTTTCTTGCAAATAGACCTAAAGTGCAGAGATTTGTGCAGTCCATAGTTTATTGATAGTTTACCCAGTGAAATGATGCTCTTCATTTTGGAATAAATCACCAAATCTCATCATTCTCCTTTTCAATAGAAGCCAGCATTTCTCTGACCTGAAATCCCTGCTAAGCAAATGTGTKGGTGAGAGGAGTCAACTCGGACAGGAAGGTTTTGTGTCCAAAGCTGTGGCTGGACCTGGCTCTAGCCGAGAGCTCTGCGCGGAAGTCCCAGAGCTCTCCGGTGCTGGGAAGGGCTCCCACAGCAACCCGGTCTCTTCCCAGCTGCTGGGAAGCTTCTCGCTCGTGCTGGACCGAGCTCTAAAGGAGGGTTTCATAGGGCGCCTTTGCTCGGTCTGCAGGGGCATTGGAGGGTTCTGGGCACCCGRGCGCTTGGTCCTGCCCTCTCTGTAAAGCAGGTTCTCACCCAGGTGGGAATGCGCCTGGCTGTAGCACAGCGGTCCATGGCTGGGGTTTATCTGCTGCTGCAGCCGAGGTGAGCAACTCTGGTGGAGAGGATCCCCACAGCCAGGGAAGAGGTCTGCAGTACCGTATAAATAATCAAAGCTAATTTTAGCTCTATAGAAAAGAAAAACCCTAGGTGAAACCTTTTGAAAACAAATTTCTTGGACTGACAACAAATATGCGATTATATCCCAAGCAAGAAAAGCATGAGACTCATATTCATTCCTCGTCTGCAACCAGAGCTGAGACTACAGTAAATCAGTTGGAATCTTTGCTCAAAACCAGCATTCCTGACAGCACCACAGACTTCAGCTACACCAGTTCTGGGGTTTCCATGCGGAGAGCTCCGCACAGTTGTTCACCAAGATTGCGCTAGCCGGTTTCAAGGCTGTTTAAGGAAGGATTTCTTTCCTGACAGACTGTTTAATGACCTTGGACACGACTGAAGGCTTTGGGTGGAAACACTTCATCAAGTCAGTTATTAGAACACGTTTAGCACCCACGGCCTCTGCGCAGATACCCGGCCGGCTGCCTTTGCAGCGCTGAGAGCCAGAGCTGCCGCACGCACGAGACCTTCCTCGCTAAAGTAAACCCAGGGACTCTGCTCACTGCTCCTACACGAGCAACAGAGCGACGAGGTGACACCGGCCCCCATAAATGAATCCCATTAGGAAAGAAACGCCTAGAATAAACAGGGATAAATTCCTATCATACAATCATACAATACCTGTAGTATGTATGTATGTAACACCTGGGGACACCTGGGGCGGCAGCAGGACACCAGCACTTGGGGCACCGTCCCGTGGCGTTTGGGAGCCAAACCTGGACATGGAGCTATCTTCGGCATCCACTGAAGCCTTCACAGCTGAAGTGCTGCATCGGCCCACTCGATCCGCTGTGGCAGTGAAATACTGCATCCGAGCTCAAAAAAGTCCCCAGTTTTCCCTCTTCTGTTCAGTATTTGCTGTGTTCAATAAACAAACTCCAAAGTCAGTTTGCATTAATACCAAGCATGTGCAAATCATACTTAGAAATAAAACTGCCCACTGGACATTTATACTGCCAGGGTTCATTATCTGTACACATAGCAAAGTATTGGGAGCTTTTTCTTCTTCTTTTTCCTGTATGCGAGCAATTCACAGGAAGGAAGTTAAATGGAAACGACGGCTGGTGCCTGTTCCCGGCTCAGCGCTGGCTGCAGAAGGTGCTGGGAAGCTGCTGGGAAGGGAGCTTCCCAGTTCTCTGTCTCTGGAATGGAATAGGAGAAGCCCCAGGTCCTGCTGCCCTGCAGGCAAAAGACAGCCCGGGTATTTTGAAACAAACAGAAGAGAGATTCTTAGATTTCATGGAAATTGCTCTATACTGTACCATGGTCTACAGGACCATGGGGTTTGCAGGAGATGGTGGGGTTGCGATATTGATGGTTCAGCCACGTTCTGTAAGCATTTTACATACAAATCTACTCTAAAAGGCATCTGGAAGGGTATTTTATCACTCATAACTGCATATCTGGTATAAAAAATGTGCTTTCTTATAATGATTTAGGGTCAAGCTTTTATTTTGTTCGGGAAGTAACCTTTTCTTCCAGGATCCCTGACAGTGTTGAACTGTGTAAATTGGGAATTAGCAACTTGGAACTGTTGCAATGTGCTAAAAAAAAACAAAAGGGAGAGTGCGGAAYAAGATCTTCCCCAGCAAGAAAAACAGCTGGTGAAAAATTAAGCCAACTATGTCTGCAAGTAAATCCTGGAAYACAGTATGAAAAACAACATGTGCTCAAGCAGAAATTCTCCTAAGAATAAACCACTTCCCCAAACTCATTAGCTAGCTCTGATGATGAACATTACAATCAAATAGGAACCTTGCAGTCCAGGTACACTTAAAAGCTTTCTGCTCTTCCTTGGTGTCTTTATTTTCCATGATTTCAACAGGAGCTGAAAGCACTCAACATCACAAAGCAGGAGAGGCTTCAAGACATTAAGACAGCAGGTGCTGTCTCCTGCCACAACCAAAGAGGCAATTTCTCTCCCTGCTTAATAACAACCTGCTCTGGAGACCCTGGCCCGCTCTCCACCTCTTTGGCTTCATTTTTTCATTTCTGACTCTTAACATGGATGATACACAATATGTGAAAAATTCTACTGCATATATTAATATATTATACTGCATACTCGGTCTTCTGGACATATTTTGAGATACTCCTACGCCATCAGACGGACAAACAACAATGAGACGGAAACTTTACCACAGCTCTGGAAGGCAGACATACAGCTCTTTATATATCCACAAGTGTTTTATCTTAAAGCCTTTCTAAAATAGACATATACTGCAAGCTTTGGCAGTAAGAATAAAATATTATGGGATCCAGCCTTACTTTGTTTTTCTCATCCAAATATACACATTGTTCTACCAGAGGAATGGATTCATCCACAGTGGCAGTTGTTACTGCTGCTTGCTTCATACACATGGAACTACCRCAAAGATCCATCTGGCCCCATCAACAACAGCTTCCTGGGACTGGCAGAGGGAAGAGCAGCACATACACGGCTCGCTTTAAATGGAGTGACACAGACAGCATTCGAAGGCATGTGGTCAAAACAGCCCCATATTGTTATTACAGATGGTAAYAGTGAAGGAAGAGAAAGAGGAGCAACAAAAGCCAGCTTTTGTGAGTTCCCGGGCAATCCCTTATGATCCTGGGTCTTGAGTAAGATGATCTGGAAGCTTTGGAAAGGCATTTGGGGTCTCTCCCGCACATGGATTRTAACATGCTGCCTTCCACGAGCCCGGGAGAGCGCCACGGCCGCCTGTGCCATTCACTGCACGTTTGGCTAAGTGTTCTCTGTATATCTATATAGATATATACACATAGAAATATGAGTATTTTTCCGTATGTTTTCCTGCAAAACATCAGAAAAATAACATCAGTTACATAACAGAATAAAGGATTCAAATAAGGTTAAATCTGATATCTGCTGACAAGTCACATGTGCCCTAAAGCAAAACAGAGAGGTGCAGATTTGGAAGTTAAATGTGCTCTAAGTTAACAGATACAAATTGCTGTTTTCTCACGGTTTTGACATACCATAGACAGGAGGTCTAATGTCTGACTTCCCAAGCAGCTTTTCAAGACCCAACTTCCTTTCAGTACATTGGGGCTATTCCTAGCATTTTTCTCATTGTCATTCTCCATGACAAAACACTGATGAGGGACAAAATTAAACATTTCATTTCATTCCTGGAGTTCAGCCCTTCAGAAGTAGCATGTCTGGAACTTCCACATCTTGTTTCCATATAGAATACTTCTTTTAAGAGAGCRAACAAAACCCCACATTGTTCAAACACTGTTTTACTCAGTGTTTTCTTCTGCAATTGGAAAGAGAAAAAGTAAAAGATCTCTCTCAAGCAGACAGCTCAAGYGTCTGTCTGACTGGCTACCAAATATTGAGATCTTAATTTCAGGATTACCAGTTTGGAATCAGACACATTTAGCAGCAAAAGCAATCTGGGATGGGCCAGAGGCTGCTCCGTGAACGTGGATGACAGGAGCAATGCAACGGAAAAGCCCAGGCTGCTGCGAGAGCAGGGCCAAGGCTAAGCTGAACGGGGCACCCACCTAGCCCTGCACAGCGCCTCGGAAGTGATCTGAAGGGCATATTCTTTCAAATCATTTTCAGCCTGTATGGTCTTCTGCATCACAGAACTCTTCAGTTTATTTGTTGTATTTTGCTTTGAAATAGTTGCTCAGAAATACCATGAAGTGTCTTTTTTTTTTTTTTTTTTTTTTTTGTTAACACATCTGGTAAATGACCACCTCCACGTTTAGCAGCTCTATTTGCCCATCAGCAGAAGCCAGTACAAACCACCTGCTATCTCTGGTAAAATAGAGAGTCAGCTTCCTTTAGAAAGGAGAAATATCTATAGTATTTTTCCCACCCTTTTGATTCTATCATTCTTGGTCATGTTTTAGCAAAGGCTTTAAATCTCTCTGTGAAATATCTTCTATCTTCAATCAGACTTGTAACTTAGAATTATTTACACAAAGGCCTGAGGATTGGATCCACAATTTAAATAACGCACAGTTCCTACCTTCCACGCGGTGGGCTTGTGTGAGTTCACATTTTATCTCAGTTCTTCTTCCTCTTCCTCCTCTTCCATTTCCTCTTCTGAATCATCCTTATTGTTCGAAGTATTGCTGAGTTCCAAGTTCCCTTCAACATCCAATACCTGTAAGTGCTTTAGGCTTTGGAAGAGACTTTCCTTTAGTGCTCCAACTGCAATCTTATTGAACCTTTAAATGAACAAAAAAATAACTGTTAAATTAAGCCCATTTTTATGTTGAGGCCGAAAGGGTTTGGCAACTAAGAAGAAGCAACTGCACAGAGGGACATTGACTTTGCAGTCACTCACAGCAGCACTTCTGAAGAGAGCAACATTGCTAAAAATGCCAGCACTGAGCTTTTCTCAAGGTGAATCAAATTTTAAAACCAGGCACATAAGAAGATAATTAAGGCTCAAGTGTCCCTGCACTGTGCAAGGGTCCTAGTGGATGATATGCACTGAAGTTCAAAATCAGTGACTTCTCCCCTCCAGTTTTAGTTTTATTTGAACACACTGGGTTGCACCTAAGAGCAGAGTATTGACTTCTCTGGATGGAAAAGGGAAGAGAAAGATTAGCAGGCAGACGAATGCAGTGACTGTACAAGGTTTGCTGACACCAGTCTTTATGTTCTCTAAGGACTTACCAGGAAAATACTGGGAAATACTAAGTGGGTCCCACTGACTTCAGCTGATCAAAATCTCAAAAAGACTCTTTATATCTTGCCYTCTTACTTCTTCTATAACTAGGTATTTCAAGGGGAAAAAAACCCTAATATTGCACTTCCTCCCCCAGAGATTCTTTGTCTTGGCTTTCTGTTTTCCCAGACAGGAAAAGAGCCTGCCCCATAGTCCACATTTCAAAGTGTAGCTTTTCCATTAGACTCCATCCCTTAACACYGACTCTTCTCCCAGGATAATGGGAAAACTGATACAAAATATCTCTTTAGAAACATACCCAATGCAGTAATTCTCATCTGTTATTTTTGTTTTCAAGAAAATAAACTTATCTGTAGTTTAAGAATTACTCACATTTACTGTTTGGTCCTTTTTTTCTTCATCATGCTTTAAATTCTATTTTAAAACTCCAGAGATATATATTTTTTATCACATAACAGTGATGAATAGCCTCCCATTTCCTAGTAAGAAATATAACTTATCCTGGGTGGAGCTGCCTCCTAAATAAGTTAGAAAAAACAGTTTTGCAAATTTGTTTCTTTTTATGTAGAAATATAGAATGTGGTTTCTGGTTTGCTTCCAGACATTCACTAAATTCTCATAATGTGAGCAGCTGGACAGACTGACTGCTCTTATTTACCACAGACTCTTTATTTCTGCCTTTTTGGTATGCAATCGCCCCTCCAAAAAGGGATGGTTTAGAACCCTAGGACAACTCAGTCGCACCAAGACAAAACAAAGCCACAGTTAGTCTCATGCCACAAAGGCACTGGGCTCTTGAACATATCCATAGAATCAGTTTAATCAAATATTCTCTTGGGTTTTATAAATTACTTTGAAACAATGTTTTCAGTAGCATTCTACTAGATTACAGCTAAATATGCTGCTAGGTCAGATTCTGGCTTCACTTATTGTAACATAAACTCTGAATAACATTATTGGGACTTTACATTATATGTAATTGAGGTCAATATCTACCACCTACAGAACAAACAGTTTAATAGATAAGGTCCTCCTCAATGTCAGTCCCCACAAAGCAGAGCTGAAGTTGGGCAACTGGACGGTAAACTTCTAGTTCTCAGCTGAGTGTAGGAATATGACTGAATGTTGAACATTAATTTCCCTGTTTCCCCAACACCACCTCTATCTAAAAAGCAGAGGACAGACTCCCCAAGCTGAGTTCCCATGTCTTTTCTGAGCAGATGAGCATAGAGCTTTATTAAACATTAGTAAAAAATAAGTTACTTATTTAGAAAGATTTTTAAATACTATTTAAGAAGAAAATTGTAAAGTGCATAAAAAGGAAAAATCTTGTGTGTTGAAGCAGCAACTTGACCTTACCTGAGGTAAATCCCTTTTATGTTGGGTGTGGATTCAAAGGCACTCTCTGGCACTGTGGTGATCTTGTTGTTCTGCAGATACAGATATTCCAGTGATTCCGGCAGGCCYGACGGGATTGACATGAGCTGATTGCCAGCCATGTCCAGCGACTGAAAGGAGAGGCAGCAAGGGGTTAAAAACTGCATGTAGATATTGGCAGCACTGAGCAATCCTCAGGAAAAAAGAGATTTAAAATGAACGATGGGTGAGCTCCACAGGACAGACATACACACATACATAGGCCCCATCCTTTGGAAGCTTATCCCATGATTTTTTAAATACGTAGATATTTATGTATGTGAATATATATACATACAAATGACCTTGTTCTTATATACACAAACATAAATGTATATAAGTATATAATCTACAGATGTTTATATATACTACATATTTCTCTCTGTATTGTATGTATTCATTTATATTGCCATGGAAACACCTAACAAGCTACATTACTTCATAAAAATGAACAGCCAAAAATTCACATTTAGTCTAACAGAACTTGTGAACTATGTTTATACAAACACACACACGCATATATAAATGTATATATATATATACAACTGTTATTTTGTTAACAGTGCAGAAGTGAGATGTTTATGCAGAGCTTATCCAGGATTTGTTATGTGTGCAAACCACACGGAAAGAGGCTTTTTTTGTCACACACTACGTTGCAAAGTACCCCTCAGATCCTTGCACTTTTGGTGGAAGCAACAAAATGACCATGTGGCTACAGTGGAAACTGGTCATTTCCACCATGCAGGAAGGTTTGATTTGAGTTCAYGGTGGAAAGCTCTTGTATTTACTGTAGCTAAACTAACTGAATTGGCCTCCAATTTCCACAACGTGAGTGTGGCCATGGCAGGTCTCTCTTGCACCCGACTCAACAGGGTGATTTMATGTGACCCTTCACACTGTTTTGCTTAGCAGTCCCTGCTTTTCTTTCCCTCTGTGCCCACATTTTAGCCTGTGCCTGCTGTAGGTGAATTAAAGCAGACCRGATTTCAAATACGCACGGGAGTTCCTTGGAAGCTGTCACTGCAAACGCCCTGCTGGGTAGTGTGACACTGCCTCAGCGGCAGATGTGAGGACATCAGGACTAAAGGCTCCAACCCCTGCTCAGATTAGTTTGAGCAATGAAATAGATCCAAAAAGGGCTTTGTGATTCTGTGTCATAGCATTTTCTTAGCATAAAGCTGGCACAGTAATGACACATTCCTCAGAGTTACACTTCTGCAAATGACTGTGATGATTTTAGCTTTTTTTGTCTCAATATGAGCATAGTCCAGCAATGTTTGTGCCCCTGCCAGCCTTGTAGGGGCAGAGAGTCTTCAGTGATCTCCACAGGCTGAAGCAGACGTAAGTGCTGCAGAATCAGGGTCTTAGGAGCTTGTTACTTGTCAGATCTCCTCCAGGGCACAAGCTCATTAACTAACTGCACACTCAACCCCTTAAAGACTCCTATATCCCATTAGGAAATTAACTAACAAGCAGTAACATATTTCAGAAAAATATCAACAGCCTAAGATGCACCCTTAATCTAACAAAACTTTTTAAATGTGCTATCATCTTAGCCTTGCTTAATCAGAGCAGGGTTTGCCATGGGGCACGTATAGCTTAAGGTTTGATTCTCAACACTCTTAAGGGGCTACTGCAGCATAAAGTAACGCCATGTAGCTGTGAATGAGGCCATTAGAGAAGGAAAGGTTATTTTTCAGCCACTAAAGCTTCCAGATTCTCATGAATTTCAATTTTGTTTGAGTACAAAACACAAAACAATAAAATGGGTTCGTTTCATTAYGCTCCAGCMGTAAAACAATTTCAGCATCTGCTAYTTCCATCAGCATCTTCCTTCCAAGGGATGTTCCATCCTACATACACACACATCACTTAAGTACCAAACAAATGCTAAAAATATCACTAAAGCCACAGCCCAAATCTACAGCTGATTTAAACCAACAGCTCTCCTGTCACAGTTGCYGCTTTACATTAACTGGAGGTCAAGCTCCCGTTTAGTCCCAGATAACAAGGAAWGAAACATGCACAAAGAGAAAGCTACGGATTGCCTGAAAACACTACGCTAGAGACCAGGGTGACACATGCTCCATGTCCCTTATCTGCTCCCAGATGCACAGGCTTTGCCTGTACAGTGACCTAACCATATGTACCCCAGAGGGCTGCTGTGTGGTATAGATGATACCTTTAACTGCAGCAAAGGCTGCTGCCCAGGGGGAAATGCAGCAAACCCTCCAGCCAGCATAGCCACTCCTGAAAGGCCATTTTGCCCAGCACAAATGTGTTTGTTCCTGCCTGCCTCACGGTTTGTGTTTAACATTCCCCTCCAATTAAGCAAATAACAGGAATGAGGATGGAATCCAGCCCCCTGAGTGGCTCCCCAGGTGCTTTAGCCAGCTGAGCTGCTAAATCCTACGGCTTGGCCTGCCTGACTATAAGCTGATGTGAGGGCTTTGAGAATTAGAGAGTGGTTTGGGTCTTTGTTTACGCGTTCCTTCTTCCTGTTGTCTCTCTTCAGAGCTCATTTAAAATCTTTTGGGAGATAGCCTGTGTGAAAGGTATGATTTGAGTTTTAATGCCAAGATCCATTAGTACTTAGCTGAAAATACAGGACACCATTGGAGTCAGAAGAAAAGCTGGCTTCACGTTCCCTGTAATTATCAGCACGATGGTGGCCTGACACTTTGCTCAGCAGTGGGAGGTGCCACCTTTGGCACAGATGTCTGCTAGAGCAAACAACAAACCATTTCTGCTGCACAAGCAGAGGGCACAGCAACTCCACTGCAAGCTCAAAACATGAGCACTGAGCACATCTGCTATAGGCACTACATAAATCGGCATAGGCAGAGATGAAGACATGAGTATTACAATTACAGAAGGGGATGTTTCTACCTGGAGACTGCTGAGCTCTCTCCATGCTCTTGAATAAATGGAATTTACTTTCAGTTTATTGTTGCTGAGATAGAGTTCCCGCAGCTTTGTCATCCCAGACAAAGTCCCTTTGGGGATGGTGCTTATCTCGTTCTCCTTCAGCTTCAGGACCTGCAGGTTCTTGGGGAAGCCAAAGGGCACTGTGTTGAGATTGTTCCCAGAAAGATCCAAGGATTTTAGTTGCCTCAGTTTACGGAAGGCCTCCCGGTGGATCTGGGCACTTTTGAGCTTATTGTAGCTCAGGTTCAGCTCTTCGAGGAAGTAAGTGGTAGCAAAGTCATTCCTGCTGATCTCCGAGATCTGGTTATGRAGGATCATAAGTGTTTTCACTCGCCGGGGCAGCCCACTGGGAATCCTTTCCAGCATGTTGTTGTACAGGTGCACAGTGTGCAGCTTTTTTAAGCCCTGGAAGGCTAACGGGTGAATCCCTCGGGCTTTTAACTTGTTATTGTGGAGTAGAAGATACTCAAGGTTCTTAATTTGGGTCAAGACATCTCTGCCAATCACCTTAATTGCATTCTTCTCCAGGTGGAGGAGCACGATGTTTCGAGGTAAACCACTTGGGATTTGTGAGAGGTTATTGCTGGACAAATCCAAATATTCGAGACTAGACAGTTTCCTTGGGAAATCAGGAAAGAAAATATTCTTCATTTAGATTCTGTAAAGTGAAACAATAACTCTCATTCATATGTCTCAAGCATATGAATGATGGGGACAGCAAAGCAAGGGCTCCCACACTGCCATCAGGGTCTAGACGCTGCCCCTGCTTCTGAACCACACAAGCAAGAGAATCCACTAGAGCCCATGACTGCCCAAACTGCCACCCACGGAGACCTGAGATAAGCTCTGCAGCCCGGTGCTCTCTCGTCTCATACTAAACTAACAGCAGATGAACAACTAAGTGCATGCCTACCAGAGGAAAGAGGGGCAACAGGAGCACCATTAAAACAAAGAATTTCAGACTCAGATTCACAGAACCATAGCCTGAGCAGGAGTAATTTCTCCTGCAATTGGAAGTCTCTCAGAAAGTGTRTATTTAAACCAGAAAGCCGGCCTGCTTTTGAGAGAATGAAGTGTTATTCTTCTGAAAAGCAGAAATGCTAATTCCGTGTCCCAGACTAAGATCATGAACTTCTCCTGACCTCCAGTATTATGGAAGTGAGTCAGGGCTAGATCTGCTTTGTATAAGCTATTGGATCTGGATTCCATGGACTCAGTTGAAGCTAAAATAAAATCCTTACACTAGCCACTTATACCAACTAGAAGTGGATCAGTGGTATTATATACGCCCGGACTGAAGAGCTCTGTATTTCAAAGCAGTTCCTCAGTTTAAATGGGATGGTAATCTGCACGGCATTACATAACCCACTGCAGATGACTCGAAATTTTTCAGGAAATATGAGAACTAATGCATTACGGACATTACTTACTGGTTACCCCAGTGCTATTCAGAGATGTCCAAGCAGGCTTTAAGTAAGTGAATGCAGCCAGTGGTAAAGTACTCCTTGCTGCAAAGAGAAACACTTCTCAAGCCTGGGTACCTCCCAATCATACTGTGCTGTACTGCAATTACACTGTGCTGTACTGCACAGGCAGTACTGGAAGAACAAGGAGGAATATCCACCACCCACGTGGACTAAGGCTGGTGCCTTAACTATCACCACTGAGATCAGTTCATCCAAATCTTAAAAATGTGTTTTGTCCAACATTACCTGGAGAACAGACCTAAGGCAGATTACTAAGTGGGGTCATTGGCTCCAAAATGGSGGAGAGGAAGGTATATCTCTGATGACCAGGAAAGTGCACAAAATTCATAACAAATTATTAGGCAGGATGGATAACATGGGCTGGCTTTCTGAGTATTACAAGGGCAGTTCACAGTACAAAGGTACCTTTCTGAAGTGTTAAATCCCAGGCCAAATTTAGACAAGCAAAAGCTATTTCAGATGTACCAGTTAGTAGCAGAGCTTTTACCTGCATTCAGCAACTGGACAGCACTATCACACCCCCTCCTACTCAAGTATACTTTATTTTTAGTGGACTTACTGTATCAGGGGACTTAGACACAAACACAGGCACGAGCTACCAATGTGAATCTCACCAGAAAGTCTCATTGTCCATTCCTTCATTAGATAAGTAGTTATTCTGCAGATAGAGCTCCCGCAGACCGGTAAGATCACTGAAGGCTCCTTTGGGAATCTTCTCTAGCTTGTTGTTCTAGAGTTAYAAAAAGCACAAAGCACATTTTCTGGCGTGAGAGAACACAGGACGCTCGGGCTCTGCTCRGCTAACACCAGGCAATGAAATTGAAGAGGTGCTAGAAATATTTTAGGAGACATTATAGTTGTGCATAAGAAATAAGCATGAACATAAGTACAAACAGCAGATTGACATATTAGACCCTCTTTTTATTCACTTCCCATGTAAGCTTTGGGCTGAGGAGTCAGAATATGGCTCATTAGGAGGGTTCTATTTAGCATTCATGTTTGTTCCACCTCTGCAAATTTATAATGTGATCTAGCCAACTAACTCCATAATTTGCTCAATATTTATAGATTTCATAAGCCATATTTCACCATAAAGAATTAAACTGGAAGTTGGCAATTTGCCAACCTCCCACTATTAATGATATTCCAAAATTTACAGTTCCTGCAATGTGAATTCCAAAATAGCTGCACCTTTTCCCTTAGCATGTCTTTGCAGTAGTCATCAGGCTGCATGAACAGAGTAAGAAACTAAATGAAATTATAAGTAGGTACTGTGTGAGCTAGAAATGGATATATAAAGCACTAACACCAGAATTCCCACAGAATTCTGGTGTTAGTGCTTTATATATCTTACCCCAACAGATAAGTTTAGTTTAGTTTCAGATAAACAGATAAGTTTAGCTGACCTGTACCCCAAGAGATAAGTTTAGCTTAGTTTCTGAATGAATAACAGAACCAAAAGAAAGACCTGTCACATCCAGAGTAACTCATTTCATCACTTTTGGCCCACTACTTGCACATCTCTTGTGTCTTCATTGTCCTGTTGKTTTTTTGCATGTTATTTCTAACAGGCAGCGTGCACCTGAAAATAAAATGCTCAGCTCTCCGTTACCACCATCTTCTCTGCCCTTCACACAAGTTGGCATTGGAGGGAAGGTAAGAAGAGTTCAAATCACAATCCTCAAAGTCTGAATCTTATTTTGGGAGACAACTGCCAGTAAATGGCCATAACATTCAGGGTCTTGGTAGCCCCACACTTCGCAGAGARGTTCCAGCTTTTTATGGAATTGGACCCTTTGCCTTTGCTTTTCTTTAAGCTGGAGAAGCCCATTTTCTGGAAGACTTTCATGAGAATTAGCAGCAAAGGCTTCAAGGGAAAAGAAGGCTTAGAGGCAAATCAAAGCTGCCTATTAAAAATGCAAGGGCTGATAACAGATTTTGGTCTACCCACATCCAAGGAGCTGTCAACACTAGGAACAAGAGGAACCCGGATGGATTCCGCACTGCTGCAGCACTCCCGTTGTTAAAAGGCTGGGAGCTCTAGTACAGACACGATGCAAGAGCTTTTATCGAAATCAGATGACATGGAACTAAAAATGCTGGAGACTAGATAATACTACARCTTCTGCTATTTCACTGCTGCTGGAGGAGTGGTAGCAGTGAAGAATCACTGATCCAAACTTTCTCTGTGTTCACAGAATTGCCAGTTCAGTAGCAAACAAAAACTACTCATACTAGGAAACAGTAGACGATGTGAAATAAATGAACTAGTAAGCAAAGCCAGCGGGTAAACTGTCAGGAAAAAAGACATCATCAGTGGCAGACTTTGCAAGGAGGCCAGTCACCGAATGGCTGTGCGAAATGATCRATCTCCGCATCCCTCCACATCAGGGCTGCAGGAAAAACCTTGCCCTGCTTTTGTGCACAATGAGCTGCCCAGTGGCTGCACCCAGAACGGAGACCCATGCGAGTGCCAGCAGGGCACTCCCTTGGGAGCAGGAAAAGGACTTTTTTACCCCGTGAACATGGTTGTTGTTTCACAAAAACATGCTAYTACTTAGGAACAAAATAGTAAGGCCATAAGAGCTCAGCTATACTAAGAATACAACAGCTGAGACTTACAGTGAGCCCAGGAATGTTTCCAAGTGAACTCAGAAGGTAGGCTGTGTAACGAATCCCACACAAACCCAGGGCTTCGTCATAACCATAAGAGAATACGAAATCTTGGTGTCATTACCTTTAAGTGTAATTTATAGAGTGCTGGAGGGAGATTCTTTGGAACATATTTCAGGAAATTGCTGGACATGATGAGTATCTCTACATTATCAGAGCCATTGAACATATTATCAGGTAATCCAGCATCTGAAAGTTTGTTGTTATGAAGATACACTGATCTGTCAGAAGCAGAAAAGATGAAGTTAAATAGTTTTTGTTTACCAAGTGAAAGCTGTTTAAAAACTGTATTTGAATCTCTTCTTCTTTCTTTGAGGTAATTACATTTACTTTTTTAATGTGCCATTTAATTTAGTAAGGAATGTATCCCAACCCAAATCCCAAATACTCTCTAAAATATTGGTCCATTTAGAATCTCAACCAAATAGCCTCACCTTTACAAGAAACTGAACCCAATGGGATTGCACAGTGCTTTGAAAGTTGAATCCAGGTTTCACAGTTTGGATCCAGCTTTGAGTTGGGTCAAGAGGCACAAAGGATACTGCAGTGATGYAATCAGATTTGGGCTTCTTGAGCTTGCAAAAACGGAGCTGCAGAGCTCTTAAGCTCTGCTCCATTCCTCTGGCACCCATCACAGCAGGAGCAGGTTCGCTCAAACTGCAACAGTTCTGCTTTTTTATTTAAATGAAAGTTTGCAATCTAAAGGGTTGCTTATTTTCCTCTAGGCTTCCTTTCTTCTAATCTTTAATTATGTACAAGTCAGCTGACCTCTGTGAAAGTTTTCCTGCTTTCCACTGGTTTAACAGGTAAATAAATTCATTTGTTTTCTTGCTAGTAAGAGAAATTGTAGGATTTTATTGCTTTTTATTTTTTTTCCATTACCCCTTCATTTCCAGTGCATGCCTCAGGATGCAGCAGGCAGCTAAAATGTTGGGGACAGGTTAACATCACAAAGAGCACAGCGTCAAAGGGAACCTTTTTAACTTGCTCTTGGATTCTCTGCCAGTTGCAGAGAATACTTGGCAATAGCTTTTTGGACGGAAGGAAGGAAGGAAAGGGTCAGAATGGAAACAACAGCGTGATCACACACTCCAGGAGGTAGACAGCCACACTGAAGATATTATTCACTCTTTGTGGTTAGCTGTACTTTTAAATCACAAATATTTATCTTTCTGAAAACCTCTCTTTCCAGCTAATCAGCCTGAGACCATGAACTCTGCCGAGGGGGGGGAAAAAAAAAAAAAAAAAAAAAGACATAAACTATGGCAGACCTCAATACAGTGTAGCAACACTCTACTACAGTACTGTGTTATCAACTTGATTTTAATTTTTTAAATGAATAGATTATAACCAAATTGGGAAATTCTACACAGTAACTATTTTGAGTAATCAAAGCAGTTCTTTGCAACTCTTAACTGATACACAACTAAAATGGAGACAAATTCAGTTTTTATCAATGTTAAAGTGTCTGGCAGCCAGTAAAAGCCCTTGGAATGTATCCTTTGACAGCTGATTTGATACTTCATGCTGAGATTAATAAATTACTTTTACTTCTTTCCAAAAACTACCAGCAGTCCATAAGATGGTTTAGCTTATAGTTTCTTATCAGTCACCAATGGCCTCCCAAGCAGAGGGAGAACACTATTCCCATTTCACCCTTACCTCAAGTTTGGCTTCTGTCCAAACGTGAGCCCATATATCTTAGTGAGATAATTGGCCGCAAAATCTGCACTGATCAAGGTGTGTGGTAGGAATTTCGGAGCCACTGTAAGCTAAAAAACAAATAAGTGGGGGAATTCCGATTAATTGCAACAAATGTTTTAACCAAATATTATGCCAGCAACAAAACACTTGCAAATCTGTTTCCTCTGAACAGGCAACAGTAAATGAAAAAGAATGCAGACTGCGGGAACAAAAACAAACAGTCCTCACTCACTAATCTCTCCAGGAAGGAGCTAGATTTTTGCTCCAAAATATTTGGATGTTTGTTTTTACTGGAAGAAATCAAGAAATTGTTATTCAGAGAGGAACAATAATGACCAATGTATTTGCTAATTCCTCAAACTACCATGCCAAAAAATCTGACCCACCTCACACTGGCCTATTATTTTCCCCCACAGGGATGTATGTTGGTGGCAGGGAAGTGTCACTTCATATGTCTGTTACAATAATGYCCATAACTACAACAATCCCTTCAAAAAAAGGATCTAGGTTCCCAAAGGGCAGGGATCACTCTGAGCCAAATTATAGAATATCAAATGGGACATAACAGCAAATACCAAGTGCACAGTGATACTGCACAATCGATTTTAAAAGTCCAGCTTTATGGAGCCACCAGATAATGCAATAGCAAGGTTCACTGGCATCTAAGAGCAAAGTGCTTAGACCAGAACGAGGACTACAGGTCACACTTACAGGTTGCAGAACAGTTTTTAGAAAGCATAAACACAAGAAAAGATTTATATATAAAATTAGGCCACTAGGACACAAATTCTTAGCATGCCACTGTGGTAAATACACAGTCCTTGGGCACATAAGTACCTGACTWTAGAACTGCCATAGGCAGGTGTTATCAACACAGACACAGATGTTAAATACAGTATTAGYGAGACCATTGCTATAATATTTCACATACACTTTAGAGGCTTCATGAGAGAACCTCTTTCTTAGGTTCATGCTGAATTCTTTATCATCTGAAGCTCTGAGATTGGGACTGAAACTCTGGGTTATGGAAAAAATCTGCCTGCTACAGGACATGCCTTGAACTGGGAAAGCTTCTTGCTCACAATACTGTTACATGAAAGAGAATTCAGTCTTCAGAGCAGACCCACATGATGACAAAACCTATTTCTCAAATTGTTACAAAAATGAAAAGACAACTGGTTATTAAAAATAGTAAGAACAAAAATATTTAAAAGATGAACAACATGTGAGAATACAGATACTTTATTGGAGGACTCCCTAACCCAAGCCTTAAACTACTAATTTATCTGAAGGATGCATACATATCTTTCAGCTAGCTTGTCAAATGTGCACTGATGAACWCCATATCTCAATATATAACTTACTGGATTTTCCCACAAATCAGTCACCAATACTATAATTCCCAGCTATTATGTAAGTAGTGAAAATTAGAGGGGTTTTACATATTTCCACAATTGCCATAGATCTGTCCTTGGCTTAACTGCTCTTCTCTCACATCCTGACCTGAAATACATGATCTCACTGAAAGTGGATAAAGGTACTTATCTCTAAATCCAAACTTCTGACAGTGCCTCAGGAAAAAATAACCTCTGCCATGACATAATACTGAGAAATCAGACACAAGACAGAGAGCTAATCACTTTCAAGGCACATTAAAGCTTTTCTCCTGGAAAACACAATCTTCTGAGTCAGAGCTTTTACAGAAATCAAAGGGCATGGCTCAGATACGTGAAAGGAGAGAAGCCAGRGCCACAAGAAAGAGCAAAGAAAGAAAGAAATTTTGGCCAAGAAGAGTCTTCAGTTACTCAGGACTTTGTTTTGGCATTACAGCACTTAGTCATAAGACYAACAGTTGTATAATTGCTTGCTTCAACTCCTTGTACTAGGAATATATCAGATCTTTCAATTTAATATTCCTTTCTCAGACTGTTCCACAGCTGAAGGAAGGCAGAAATAACCAATTTATCAGCTCCACTAGTCTCAATGGCAGGATTTTCAAAGGTGAGCTTTTATAACAACAGTATAAAATAACTCTCACCTAAGAAGGTGGCTGAAAAGTCTCAGGATTTTTGTGCTTGTTCCAGTAGCTCATAAACATTTCTAGCCTCTATTACTATGGGAATCCCTAGAAACGTAGAACCTTTCATGACCAAGATAACAAGCTTACAGTAAATAATGACCAATAGGACCTATTCTACAGTAGATTTTTGTTATTAAGAAGGCTTATTATAGACACTTCACAACATGTGACTGATACATAGTAAGAAAGTGCTTGCAGAAGAGTAAACTGTAACATCAATTGTTAAAATTGATATAAATCAATTGTTGTCACTCATGMACCTCAGCTTTTAAGTCTGGTATCTTCTGTTCTCTGACCAACTATGCAAGTTTAATGAAAGGCAGTTTAGCTGAATGTGAGGGGATCACAACTGAAGATAAGGCAGCATCAAGATCATCTATAAAACAAACAGMAAACTGCCAGCAACCTACACTGCCCTTCTCAAGACACCAGTTATTTGGTCTACAGTGTTTCCCACTTAAGAGTGGATGTAGTTTGAAGCCAATCTAATTTGTCCTGGCTTATTATTTATGAAGAAATATTTATTATTTTTGTGAGTCCATAATTCCTCACTCTAACTAGTCCTGACATTTGCTGATGTTTGCATTTTCACTTGAGATCCTGCTCTCTCTGCAGTAAAGCCAGAAAAACCAAACACTTTGTTTTGTCACACAGGGAAAACTGGAGTGCAAAGTTCTGGAATATTAGTCACGGTCTGGCTTGTTCTGTTTTATGGAGTTCTTAACTGCCAAGACTATTATATGGAAATGGTGCATGAAAGAGAGAAAAGAACACAATGTTACTGTACTAAGGAATGGGTTCCATTCTCAGTTACTCCATACAGAAAACCATGGAGAGATTCTGGATACATCTTGGCCTCACTGAAATCTGAAGGTGGACACGTGTATAAATTAAATGTCAAAGAGTCACAGATTTTAAGAGAATTGTACAGACATGCACACACACACATATATATACACATATATCTATATACATATATATACACATATGTGTGTGTGTGTGTGTATATATATATGTGTATATATATAATTATATATACAYACATACACACACACATAGAGAAGATGCAGGGTTTCTGTATACAAAAGAAGCTCTGTCTGATGTTTTAACTTCTGTTTTGCTGTGGCATATTAGTTCCTTCTTTAGTAAAAAATTGTGGGGGATAACTGAGAAAAATGAATGCCAGTGAGAACTACCCAGGTGCAAAGGCATGTGAAAAGGTATTCCCTTCCTTTCCCAGGCAAAAAGCTGTGCTTCTGTCACCACATTCAAGCTGGGTCACTAAAAAGAAAGCAGCTGTGATCTTCTCCATTAAAATAAAATGATTTTTCATTACTTGGGCTAGAAGAATAAACTTACTACCTGCTCAGTTTCTCTTTGTGTGGTTTTCCATCCATCAACCCTAGTGAGAATGGGAGACAGGGAAGAGTGGATGATTTTTTGCAGTCCTTTATGGCCCAAGCACAGGTACTRGGATGTGTTTGTTCACATAACTTTTTCACACAGGTTCATCAGACAAGATATTCACCCCTGTACTCCATTACCCTGAGCTTATCTGCATACAGGCAGCTATCAAGTCTGTGTGCAGCTGATCCAAAGTCCATAAATTACAGTGGCAATTTATGAATGCAAGGGCTCTCTGTATCTCCCTACACACATACAGGATTTTTTTTTTATCAGCTGCACAGAGTCATAAGAGTTATAAATATACTGGCATGTATGTGTAAAACAGAGCTCTCCATTCTGATTTAGCCATTCCTACCACATTCTCACCTGGCAATGAGGTCTTAAAAGATCTTTGAATTGATGGAATACCACATCTATGAAAAAGAATACTCTAATTTTTCAGCATAATGAGTGTTTTGACCTTAAGTGAACCTTCATTAGACTATAAACACAATGTTATATGTAAGACGTATAGTTTCAAAGAATTTAAGACCCTCTTGATTAACTTTCAAAATCCACTCAGAAAAGAAGTCTGAAAGTCTCATATCTTACCTTATTGTTTGCCAGGTACAGGTAATTCAGGTTCTCCAGATGTTCAAATGCTTCTTCAGGCAGTCCTGAAAAAAAAAATAAAAAAGAATTATTCTGATCAGCAACACTAGTGCTCCCTCATTGAGAATATCATAGGTTTCAGCAGCACTGAAACAAACTCATTCAGGCATTTTATTGTTCAAGGTTTTTTACGGATMCAGAAAGATGCTGGCAAAACGGAAAGGAATTTATTAAACACAGTTTTCTTTGTGCTAAGTATGAGTTATAAGTGTTGTGTCCCATGCATAACGCGCCCACATTCTCAATAAAGGTTTTCTGTCTTGCTATAAGGATAGCAAAAGCACCTAGCATATCTGGATAACACTTAAATTAACACCAATTACATTTCTTTTATTGAATCTCCCGCTCTCTGGCTGTTTAACTCCTCTCTTCCTTTCGCCTTCCTTAATAATCAGTTGTCAAGCTCCTCTAATAGGCCTATGACTTAGAAAAACAAACAAACAAAAAAAGCATGTAGAAAATCAAACAGTTTTAGAGAAGGGCAGAAGTTGCCTTACGTGCAATACAGATTATTTGGACATAGAGCAAATTGTAAATTCAAGTCAGATTGATCTGAACTGAGTAAACTGACAGACTGGACTGAACTAACCAAATGGATTAACAAACAAGGTCAGTCAGAAGGAAATCATTCAGCATGTGGACATTTCTGGTTCCCAAGTGCATTGCACCGACATGCCCAAGGGACTGGGGGAAGTTTCCTGGACGTGAAGATCTCACGCCACAGTACACAGAGCTGCTGCCAGGCCTCCTCCACCAGTCCAGTAAGGCTGCATTCTTATACTCTGAGTACKACTTTTCAGATGATAAAGTGCCTCCATGGTCTGTATAATGGCCAAAGCAGCAATGCTTATAGCCAACTGTTCCAGTCAAGTGACCCCACCACTCTTCACAGCTTTCTTCAGCAGCTGTCACCGGACTCACTGCATCAGCTAGTGTTGCTGTAGGGATAAGCACTGAGGCAATGGCTCTGTTCACTCATGGCTTTTCCAGCTTACCTTTTGAAGTAAGCCTGTTGTTTTGCAGATTGAGAGTTTCTAGTCTGTGAAGACGAGCAAGCTCCTCTGGAAAGATTTCTTCTATCTGGTTATTCTAAGAAAAAGGAGAGTATTAATCATCAGCAAAGTAATCCAAGCAGGATCCCAATAAAACCCAGACGGTGAACTCCAAGAAAATTTGGAAGTGGACCCACAATGTCAAATCATTGTCAGCAGCCTTCTCCCTATAACGAGCCAAACTCAAATCTCAAAACCAGCAGCTTTTTAAGGCCTGAACCAAGCTCAGCAGCTTGTGCTCTTCTCCAGAAATATCCAGCTGGTGCACTGGTAGCATGTAAAGAGTGGGATCATTTTTGGCAAGGCTTGCGACCTATCCGCCAAAGCCATGCCTGGTAGCTTCAGTAAAGCGTTTTGCTACAAGGCTGGCATTGTGGAGTTGCAGATTTACTATTTCTGCTGGGGTTTTTTTGCAGGGGGAGATAGCTCTTCTGATGTATTTTGTGATTAACTTCCTGCAAACTTGTCATGGGCAGGGAACATGAAACCGGGTTTGCTCTCACTGTCAAGAGTAACTGCACTAGATTTGCATTAACGTGCCATTATTTGGACCACTCATGAGTGATTCCAGCACTCAAGCATGTAGAACCGTTAYGAAAAATCAGGACTCCGGTGCTGGGAGCCAAATTGAGACACTGAAAGTGGCAGGAGCTGCTCCAAAGCAACATCCCAGCCTGGGGCAGCAGGAGCGCGGCTCGCACACGTCTGGGACACGGCCGCGGGGCGGCCCTGCGGGCGGCACTGCAGGCCCTCAGCGGCGCCAACCGCCGCACCGCTGCTCCTTGGAGCATCCATGGGGGCTATGTTTGTCCCGCTTGTGGCTGTTTTATTGGCACGTGTCACCATTTGAAAAATGTCTTATTCATGAATGAAGAAATTAGCCTGCATTCTTCAAAGAGGCTTCAAAATAACAGAAAAAAAGTTACTGGAAAACTCAACTATAACACTGGGTGAAAAAATTTCTCTCAGATTCCCGGAAAGAGGAAGCAAAGGAGAATCTTTTCTGGATATTTTTTCTCCTTTTTCTCTGTTTTGTGAGGACTCTRGAGAACCCCCGAGTTGGCCTGCAGGGCGGGCGGCGCCATTACCTGCAGCGACAGGTGGTTGGTGAGCTCGGGCAGGCGCAACGGGAACTCCTTGAGGTCGATGCCGCCGCAGTCCACGACGCCCTCCTGGCTGCAGCCGCAGTCGCGGGGGCAGCCAGCGGCCGCGCCTTGCGGCTGGTGCCGCCGCCGCTCGGCGGCGCCGTCAGGGAAGTCGTTGGCGCCGGGTGGCAGCGGGGCGCGGGCGGCGGCGCAGCCCAGCGCCAGCAGCCCCAAGGCCAGCAGGGCCCGGCCGCCGCCACCGGGCATCGCCCCTGGAAGGCGAGAGCAGAGAGCGGGGTCAGACCCCGCCGCGGAGCCGCCGCGGGGAGCGGGCGCCCGGCTCGACCCGCCGCCGCCGCCATTTCCTGCGCCCCCCGCCGCGCCGTTGGCGCCTGAGGGGGACCCGGCGCCGCCGCCATTTCCTGCGCCCCCCGCCGTGCTGTGGCGCAGCAACCCCTCAACTGCCCCCGACTCCTTCAGTAATTTATGGCCTTTTCTCCCACTCTCTCCTTAATAAAAATAATCATTATTATATTCTCCCTTATTGAGGAACGCCAGGCAAGGCCACAGATTTATAGCTGAGGTTATGCAGTGTTATGTAACCATAATGTGCTGCGCAGTTTTGCCTATGGCAGCCGCTCTCCTTAACCGAGGTACAGGAGCTCTGCGCGGAGGGGCTGTCTCTAGCACTGCCAGCCGTAACAAAAGCGTCTGAGCTACTGAAAGTAATGGGCGTAGGGGCTTCCTATTGATCTTGGAGAGTGCTGGTCTGAAGCCTTTAAGGCTTGGCTCACATTGGGCTTTTATCTTTTTGGCAGCAGGTTAATATAACGCAAACAGAAGTTCAGTATCTGCTGCATCAGCCAGCTGGCCCCCATCCAGCCCTCGCTGTCTCCTTCACTGCCTTTCTCAGGTTTCATATATAACAATTTGCAGTAAGACCTGGTCATGGCTTGTCTTTGCCTCCTTCCCTCTCTTCTGCTCCTTGCGAAGCATTCTGGGGAAGGGAAGTCCTCCTCCAAAGCAGAGAAAGTCATGGAAGATGAGCCTTAATAAAAAGATTCTCAAAGTAAAAARCAGAAAATCCCACAGTGGATTCTTGACCCAAATATGAACTAAATGCACATTCTTCTCTGTCAATTCAGGCTTCTCCTTTGCCTTGGAAACAAGAACGCTCAGCGCCAGGCTGGCAGCCATCCGACCAGCACCACTCCCTTCGTGTCCATCATTTAGGATGGCACCGAGACCCCGACTTTCTGCAGCCCTCACAGACGCGGGCAGGTGTTGGACAGATCCTGCTCGCAGTCGTTAAAGTTTTAAATAATATCTTTAAGCACTGACTTAAGGACTGGCTTGAGGAAATGGGAGAAGGTATATTCCTGAGGCAGAACCTGRCTTGATGCATAGAAGGGTTTGGTTCAGCTCTCAACTTCCATGTTGGGCAATTTTAAGCATTTCCAATTTGTTTGAGCCCTCTCTCCACCCCTCTACTATCCCGCAGTTTCCATCTCTGTAAAAGCTGAATATAATCAAATTAATATCCTTTATAAAACATTCCAGAGATTAGATGGTGTGCCTTATATGGCAGCAAGATACTAACAGTGAGGTCAAAATTAACCATATAAGCATGCCAACGTTGGATCAGTAAAGTCCTTAGTATTTGGTGACCTAMTCTCAGAAAGTATTTCAGAAATCTTACAGAAAATAGTCTCAGAAAATAATCTCAGAAAGTAGAGTTATCAAGAAGTCCTTTACACATGGGTCAAAATCCTTTACATAGGTCAAAATCAGCCTTGCTGTAACAAACACCAACACTATCCCAACAATACCACCAGTTACATCAAGGTTAGTATTGGTCTCTATAGATTTGTGGCATGCTGACTTCTCCACAAATTTAACTGAAAATGTTAAAAAATAGCATGCAGTATTGCATCTACTGCTTACAAAAGTCCTGGGAGTCAGTCTCAGCCTTCTCTCATCAGCATGTGCGCTGCTGTGACAGCCTTTGAAGTGACTGCTGCTCTGGTGCTACAGGGAGACACTTTGGATAAGGAAATACTGCTTGCATCTGGAGTGCAGGCAGTAAAACCTTTTTTTTTTTTTTTTTTTTGGTAAGTTCAAAGCATGTCTGAAGTAACTCACTCCAATTAAACTCATTCCCAGGGGCACGATGCAAAGTCTTATTCGAAAAACTTAATAAAAGTACTAGCTCAAAGCCCCACTAGAAGGCTTCCCCTCCCCTTGCCGTCAGTGGGCTTGGGATCAGGCCCGATACCCTGAAGACTGCGGCTTCGCTAAAGCCAGTTCAGGGGTTTCTGTGGTTGCATCTTTCTGAATCCAGTCAGAACCACCAGCGACTGCTGCACTTTGCTGCCCCACAGCACCAGAAACAGTGTGCTGCAACAGGCAAGAAGCTAAGTTTAAGGAGTTACTGTATGCTTCTCAGTGATTATAACCTCAATGAGCAGCAGAATCATGTTCAAAATATCTTTGTACCTGCTGTTCTCCACACACACATTCTCACAGGACACACGCATGCAACTGGAAAAACATCATCTCCTTCAATACCAGCAGGTTAAGTGAATCTGCTCACTTCCATACCCTTTCTAAAAGCTGCAGCACAGGCTGCTGGATGTTGTCTAACAGGTGTTAAAAGAAATAAAGTGCTGAAAAACTCACCTTTGCTGACAGAAATCAGATGACTGGAGAAGAACATTTCTCTTGCCCCCACAGGCTCCCTCAGCTCATGCCATGTCCGTTACATGCGCTGAGCTCAGACTGAGACTCCTCTTTCCAAGCCAGATCCTTTCCAGATGTGAGCGGCAGAATTAGAGAGAGTAACAGGCAACCCTCTACCAACGAGAGTTTCCTGCACTTTCCAACGAAATCGGAGAGGAATTTTCCAAAGTCACCATATGGGAAAATGTGAGTAGGAAAGAGGAAGCAGCTATAGTCTGAATATAAAGACTTGGGCGAAAAACAATCTCCTGTTGCTTTTTGTCAACATGCTTTGCGAGATCCACGAGAGATGCCAGAAGCAAGCATGCTGCAGATGACAGGAGAGAAGCAGAGGCTGCGTGCGCATTGCAGGAGAGCCGAGCTGCACTAGCACTTACTGGAGCTTTAACTTCTGCTGCCTCCTCCACAAAGTCTGAATTCCATGCGAGAGTGTCCCCCCCTTCCCCATGGGCCTGGTTCAAATTAGCAAGGAACAGATCAGCAATTTTTACTCCATCTCCCTCCCCTTTAACTCTCCCCTTGGTTTTCGATCCATCAGCTGATCTTAAGAGTTCAGGGTTAGACAGGCTGTGAAACAACAAGTGTCTTACAGGCAAAGTCTTCAAACTTGACATAATACCCTATCTAAACAGCCTTTTTTACATTGCCTAAGCTCTGAATCACAGCACTAAACACATGCAAAGTTCTGTTTGTTAAGACCAGAAATCCTACATTTTCTATTTCTGTTTAAAAAAGAGAGAGGAATTTGCTGTTCATAGCAGAGTATGCTCTAAGTGCAGCAATATTTYTATGAAAGCAGCAGAGTTTTTTGCCACTGACGGCAGCATTATTTTTTAAATTTAAAGCCACCTATTTTGCGAGTGCCCTGCAATGCGCCATACAATACCTCCACAAACTGCAGAGGATCTGTCCTCAGCAAGAACTCGCTGTATTCCAAAAAAAAGACACTGGCTCTTTCCTCCCAACTCCAGCTGAACAAAAGTCTAAAGCAATTAAGCTGTTTCCTCCCTCTCTTCTCCTATCAACTGGAACAGATCCCTCTCTGTGCCACGTGTAACTTTCAGAAGTCAGYGTGGGAAGTGTGTTTTTACTAAAACAAAAACAAAACACAACCGGCTGCCTATTTGTTAGATGATTCAGAGATGCAGGATGTATTCCATCCTCCMCACCTGCCTGTTACCCTTTCTCTGTTAAAACACCCTGAGGCAATACAGTAAAAGCAATGTTTTCAAGGGAATACAGTTTTCAAAGGAAAAGCAAAAAGTCYGTGTTGGGGAAGCACATGTCTCACTCCAGAGGAGGCTGCAGAGGAAGGGAAGGGACATTACCCAGATCATTATTGATACCAGAAGAGCCCAACAATGAAAGTGAGACACCAGAATTTACCCTTCTTCAGAAGCATATATTTGCATTTTATTGTTGTTGTATCTTGTTGTTAACTAGTTGTTRAACTATCATGTACCATCTAGAGGTAGTGAAGGACTCCATAAGAAGAAGGGCATCGCGCCTATTTTACTGATGGGAAAACAGGCAAAGAAAAGCGTCATTGCCAACCCAAAGTCAGAAACCAGGTAACTCAGAGGTAAAAGCAATACTTATATCCTTACACTGTGGTACAAATTGCATAAGCTGGTTTCTTACCCTCTTATATGAGCATATTCCAAACTTACGATCTCGTTACCTCCAGACCCAGTCCTACACTCCCAACACCAGAACCCGCATAACTCCCCAGGAAAAGCSATTTTAAGCCTACACTGACACACCACAAACACCTAAGGCAAGAACTAAGTTTACAGACTTGGGCAATCACTATTTCCATCACTAGAGATTTTGGGTGGGTGCTTTTGAGGAAAGCATCTACATACACATAACCTACAGTCTGCTGCAGGCAACATTTCCAGTTAAGGTCTTTGCATCCCAGCATGTTCCATGCTGAAGTGATAGAAGGAGCTCGGGCATAAATTAAATATCATTTTCAGGTTCAAAAACAGATGCTGAAAATGCAGTTGAACATTTTTATTCTTCAGATTGCTCATATGGCAGAGAAGTGGGTCCTTGGGCAAACCATTGCCAGGGTGCCACAGTAACAAGCAGCAGCCACCACCGATCCCATGTCACAGCACCCTGGGGTGCTYCTGCCAAGGCCCTACCTGCTGCACTGGGTCTAGCAGACAAGAGCCCCAGTGGTGGCCAGGGACAGACTTTGCTAATTGGGCTTCCTTTTCCAAAGCCCTTCTCACAGACCTCAGCACAAGGACACGTGTCGGTCCGAGCTGTAACATRCAGTACAATGTACCTCAGTGCACAGGCTTGTAACTGAGTAAGCCATACATTACATCAAGGATGCTCCTGCCTCATGGCGCCCCTGTGGCCAGGGAGGATCAGGACAGCACAAAGGTAGCACAAATCCACAAGAACCTGCTCAGCTCTCACTCATAACCATTGTCACTGCCCTAAAGAGATTACAGGCTAAATTTAGATTCAAGATGCTAAGCTTGGGTAACGTGTGGCCCTGCGAGTAACAATGG